CTCCCTAGCTCAGCAGCAGTGCGACAACCACCACAACATGGAGGAAGTGATCCCCAGAATGCTCGAGGATGTTTATCTCAATACGCGAGTGAGCATTTATCAGACCACGGACAGCCACATAACCCTTCCTGGTGGTACGAGCTTTCGCACATCGGAATTGGAGCAGGGCCTCTGGGAAGATACCGCTTGTAGGTGATTGTGAATGGCACGAACGTGATGCGTACGCTAACTCTCGCAGACTTTGATTACGCCATCGAGAATCTCAATCATTTGGACATGACTGCGCCCCGGCCTGTACGGGTCATCGCGGCACAATGTACCAGTCAGCGTGCGGCAATGTTTCTCGTAGTAGCCAGTAACGATCTCAAGATGGTCTTTGATGATATAGACTCTTGGTTCGTACATATGTGTGCGGTAAGCAATGGTAGATTCGTTCTGGGGGCTCTTGCTGATACTTTGTGACGTTTAGACAATACTGTGTCGTTATTGGCAAGGCCGTGCACTTCAGGAGGCGCTCAGCGCCAAAGAAACGTTCCTTCGCGGCATTACACATCAGCTGCGAACGCCTATACACGGCATCCTCGGCTCAGTCGAGCTCCTGACCGAGGAGCTAAAATCCCGAAATGTGGTCCCTTCGACAGCTGCCTCTTCACCAACTGCCAGCCCGGACATTGAACAGTTGGACCCATACACCTACATCAAGACCATCAAGACGTCAGCGAGAGAGCTGATCTCAACGGTGAATAGTCTCATTAAGCTGAATCAGTGGGCAGACATTGCACAGGCGGAACGCGTTCTCACTATGCATACAGTCACCGAGATCGAAGATGCTTTGCTGAAGGAAACACTACTGGGCCTATCCGATGATCTGTCCACGCGACCATCGATTGTCATACAACACCATCTACCACCAAGCTGCGACTTGCTTGCTATCGACATGCGAGTATTCCTAGACTGCATACAGCCGCTCATGGTCAACGCTGCTCAAAATGCCGCTGGCGGTATGGTAGCAGTGAATTTGTCAATTACGGAGAGCTGCCAGTCTCTCGTCGTCGATGTCGAACACAGTGGGCGTAAAACACCCAAGGGAAATTATGACCGCGTGTTTGACGCACACGAACGAATCGACCTTAGTGGTACCGAGTCTGCTCTTGGTTTGACTTTGGCGAGTAAAGCGGCGACGCTGTTGGGTGGCGAGATCACAATGGTCACTTCACCCTACGGTGCAGGTTCGCATATCAGAGCGACGTTCAATGAGCCCGTCTGTGCAAGCTCATTACCTGCTTCTCGTACAGTGAAGGATAGGTTCAGTGAGCTTCCGCAAACCTTCCACCACCTCACGTCCAAGTCAGCAACGTCGTCTCTCGGCGACTACTTTACTCAGTATCTTTCGAGCGCCGGCTGGACAGCGTCCAACACACCCAAGGGCGCTTTTGTAGTCGTCGACTATACACCGAACCTGGCGGAGCTCTACCGACACACATCGAACATCGATGCCGACCAAGTCGCGATATGTCTTGTCCCAGAATGCGCATGCTTTCTCGACTTCCACACTGAACGTGTTCGACGGCAAGGAAATGTTGTATACGTTCAAGGTCCCTTTCTGTCGGAAACATTTGAACAAGCGTTGAAGCATGCGGACGCAATCTCGGCCGAATTCCGCGCCTCTGCTCTGGAGACGGGGCTGTGTGCGACCGGTGGCATCGTCATCGAGCCAGCTAGTCAAGGTTCTACACTGGACTCGAACGAGCGCCCACAACTCCCATCCGAGCGAGGTTCAATATTCCCCGACAGGCTTCAGAATGAATTGGTTCAGTCGGTGCGGACCTTGCGCATCCAAACTAAGCCTCCGACTTTCACGAGGGAGCCTTCCACATCAAGCAAACCCTTGACACTTCTTGTTGACGACAATGCTGTCAACCTTCGCCTATTGGAGATGTACTGCAGTCGTCGTGGTATCCCGTTTCGGAGTGCAAAGGATGGACAGCAGGCAGTCAATATCTTTTCCGAAGCTCTTATACCCAAGTACGACCCACTGCTACGACAAAATCTGCCCGTCCAACCAGTCGGACTTATCCTCATGGATCTTCAGATGCCGGTATGCGACGGTATCGATGCAACACGACAGATACGGCGATTGGAGAAGCAGCATGGGTATGAACGGAGCGTCTTGTTCATCGTCACTGGCCAGGACTCCTCGAACGATCGCAAGGCCGCAGACGATGCTGGCGCTGACGAATTCCTGACGAAGCCGGTAGGACCCAAGGTTCTTGACCAGTGGGTAAAGAAGTGGTATCCCGATATCGAAATATGAAGGATTGACTATCTCTTCACGCGCGGAAGAACCTTCGAGTTCCCAAACTCATCATTCGAGGATCCGTGCATAGGCCATTCACGAGATGCCATACGCCAAGGCTGTGCTAATAGCTACATCCGCACCGGAAGTCACTCGCATAGAGAACCCACGCAGGAGTATATCCCATGGCACTGAAGTCTGGATGTCGTATTGCCTGCGCAAGGTCGAGCGCCTTGATATCACACACCGAAAGGCTTGACTAAAGTCACTTGTGTGGTCAGGAAGATCGATAGCGAGACAAAATGGGTCCGCTTCCTGACGCGCAGCCTTTAGGCATCACAAGCTAGCGAGACGAGATATGGCTGTTGATTGGTCGTGCCACCAGGCGATGATAGCTTTCGGGTCGCATTAGACGCCGACTGTACGCTTGCTATGGCTTGATTGTACTTTGAACTTTTAGGCATGCAGCATCCCAAGTATGATGCAATTGTCAGAGGAGGATTGTACGTATGTAGTAGATTGCGCGACGCATTTCGTCATCACCGATCAGGCCCGCTGACGCCAAGTGATTATGTCATCCACATGTGAAACCAGATGCCGCAGCATGTCTCCACGCCAGTGACGCCCAAGCCCATATAACCTAACCCAACCATTGTATACCTTGGTCCATCCTAAAACCCATCTTTCATGCTGTCTCCAAGATTGCCGTCGACAGTTTGACAATACCTAGCTGCATTGGCCCGTCTGCCCGCAGTTTAGGCGCCAGCCTCCCTAACTCTTCTCCAAGATGGCGCTATCATGGCTATCCTACTCATGCATAGCCATACTCCTCGCAACCGTATACATCAGAAAACGACTCAGCGTCCGCACATCCCAACTCGAGCGCGATGCAGAAGCCGAGAAACCTGGCCGTCTCAGACTCGACGATGGCCTAACAGCGTCCGGACGGCAACTGAAAGCCAAGCTTGTCGCAGCCATTCCACACATTATCATCACGCCAGACAAGGCAAAGGAATTCGAAGAGTCAATGAACGCGTACTGGGACCAGAAAGCGTGTGAGGTGCCACCCGCATGCGTCGTGCGACCCCGCAATGTGTGGGAGCTAGCGCAAGCGGTCAAGATTCTCAAACGCGAGTTCGATTTGAGGGTTGAGCGAGCGAAGGAAACGGGAGAAGAGGTGGAATCGATATTTGCTATTCGGGGTGGAGGTCATTCTGCTGTTGCTGGTGCGTCGAGCATCAGAGGTGGGGTGCTTATAGACTTGTCGCTTTTTAAACAAGTCGTTCCTGCACAGGACGGGCGGAGCGTGGTCATTGGCGCTGGCTGCAAGTGGATTGATGTATACTCAGAACTCGAAAAAGAGGGTCTCGCGGTCGCTGGCGGTAGAAACTCTGCTGTTGGTGTGTCTGGCCTCACGCTCGGCGGTGGTCTCTCGTTCTTCTCGCCGCAATACGGGTTCGTGTGCAGCAACGTCCTTGAATACGAGGTCGTTTTGGCAGATGGAAGGATCGTAACTGCCTCGGAGTACGATAAACCTGATCTTTGGCGTGCACTCAAAGGCGGAGGAAACAACTTCGGCGTCGTGACAAGCTTCACAGTCCGCAGTTTCGCCGCGAAAAACGTGTGGAGCGGGTTCATTTATCTCCTCTCATGGAAAGCCCCAAGTGTGCTCACAGCATTCCATGACACTGTCTCGAAAACACTGGCCGGTGAGCTAGACCAACGCTTCGACCCCTACGCCGCGGGCCCGTTGGCATGCTTCACGTACCTCCAATCCGTTGGCATCCAAGCAATCTCTGTGCACCTCGTTCACACCGCGCCAGACACGAAAGAAAGAGGCTGGCCGGAATGTTGGCGTAGCTCTGGGTTCCATAAGATTGGGCGTGTGTGGAGTACGTTCAAGATTCGCAGTCTAGTTGGTGCGACAGATGAACTCAGTGTTTTGAACCCGCCGGGACGACGACAAGAGTTTGCGACTACGACGATCAAGAACGATAAGCAGACTTTGGAGGCGGCACATAAAGCATATCGTGATGCGATACCGAAGATCAAGAAACATGGCATCAAGGGCATGAATTGGACGCTTGTCCTCCAGCCGTGTTTACCTTCTTGGGCGCGGAAGGGCGATGCGAATCCTTTGGGCCTTGACGTAGGATCTGATGAGCCGCTTGTTAATGTACAATTTACAGTGAACTGGGCGTTGGAACAGCATGATGAGGTGGTGAGGACTATCACGAGAGAGGCGATCGAGCAGATTGATGCTTTTGCCACTGAGCATGGGACGAGTCATCGATATCGCTATCTGAACTACTGTGCTGCGTGGCAAAAGCCTTTCGAGAGCTACGGAGAGGAGAATTTGACATTCTTGAAGGGTGTTAGTGGAGACGTTGATCCCGAGGGTTTGTTCCAGCGTGGTTGTGGAGGTGGTTTCAAGTTAGGGTAGTGACATGATCTCGCCTCATCGTCATGTATTGTGGGAAGTCGGCAACTGGTTGAGAACAATATAAAAGTACTACACGTGCTACAACGGCCGTCGGAAAAAGTCATCATCTGTCATCGACCCTCGTATACTCGTCAACGCCGTCCGCTCTAGGAACACTTCCTCTGAGCCGCTCATGCCACCCCATCCCCACATTATACATGTCTGAAACGCCATAACACCTCTATTGCAATCGGACTCTCGCTACGCACTCAAACAACTCAACTAGTCAAGGCCGGCGGCGATCGCGGCAAGCGCCCAGTCCATGAAACCGGCGTTGGTGTCAAGGATGTTGGTGTTGAACTCGGGCAGAGTGGGGTAGAAGTTGGTGCTGTACCCGAACTCCATGGTGAAGCCGTGAATCTTGTTCGCACCAGACTTGGCGTATGTGCGGCTAGCGGCGTAGTCGTCTGAAGCACCAGAGGTAGCGTAGAGGCCGACAGACTGCATGGATGTGTAGTCACGGCCACCGACTGCTCGCATCGCAGCCGCCGTCTTGGCAGCAACGTTCTTGATGTTTGTCGCATCAGCCGAGGGAATGTACTCCTTGTACGTGGAGTCTCCAAGACGACCTCTCTTTCCATCATACGCGCTGTTGAGGAAGTTCATGGTGGTGCTGGTGCTCTGAAGCTCATCGTCACCCCAGTTGTACAGGATGTCGCCGGTAGCGGAGTGAATGTCCATGAACCACCTGATCTTCGGGAATGAGTCGTAGACGCTGACGTGGTTCTTGGTCTCAGACTCTGATGCAGCAGCTGAACCGTAAAAGGCCTCTGAGCTTGGCGAGGTGGATGCAGGGGATGTGGAGGGGTCGAAGTACTTCTTGAAGTTCCAGAGGAAGTCAAAGTTGCGGTTGATGTCTACACCGACGGAGGCACCGCTAGTGCCGGACCGCGTGTTGCGGTTCTTGCGCCATAGTGATCCGGAAGACTGGTCGTATGCAACACCGTCTGGGTTGACGAGTGGGAAGAAGACGATACCGGCGGCAAGGACGCTCTTGACTTGAGCATTGGTGTATGATTTGCTACCGTACTTCAGACCGCTTCCAGCCTTGTTCGCGGCGAGGAGATCTGAGATCCAGTAGATGAGCTGATCAGGGCCTCCGCGTTCGCGTGCGTGCATTCCAGCGGAGAGATAGAGGCGGTACTTGGACTTGTCTGTGCCGGCGCCAACGTATCCGGCGGTTTGGGTAGCGCCATTGAAGGTCTTGTATGGCAGAGTGACGGTGCTGATACCGTATCCGTTGACGAGTCCCTTGATGGCAGAGTTGATCTCGGTGGGATTCATGATGCTGCTCATGGTCGATCCCGTAGCCTTGGTGCCAAGACCAGACGGTGTGACAGAACCGCCCGACCAACGGTCGCCAGTGCCGATCGGTGCGGTGGCAGCCCTCTTGCTGAGGTCACGACGGTGTAGGCTGATCTCTGCATGGTTCTCGTACTCTTTGGAAAGGTACGCGATTTGGTCCTCGGTCAGCAGGGCGTGGAGCTCGAAATGACCTTCTTTCGATGGCACCGCCTTGGGTCTGCAGCCAAGATCGTATGTGCCATTGTTGACGATGTCGAGAAAGTGTGCTGGAGAAGGTGCGTTGAAATGAACAGGCAGAAGGCTACCGAGTACGGTAGTGCTCTGGAGTATCAGAGCTGCGGCAAGCGCGTACTTCATCTTGAGTCTGCTTGGGGTGAAGAATATGGGGAACGTTAGAATGAAGTTGCCGGTGCTCTTCAGTATGTCGTGAAACAACGTTGTTTTTATACATCCCTTCCATTTTGGTGTAACGATCGACCTTCTCCTAATGGTCGGCAGGTGATACTCTAGCATAAACGTGTCGGAGGTGCCATGGTGTCGCCTGCCGCTGATTGGCCGACTTCGCGAATTACGCCGGGCGCTAACTTGATCTCCTTCTGCTTTCGTCCTGTCTCCGCTGAAACTCCAGATGCACCTGCCCGGGAGGATCAAGTAGATCCAGAGATGCATGGGCAATGAGAGGACCTGCCCTGGGTGATGTGCAGCACTAGATAAGATAGATTAACTGGCCCTGAAAAGCAAGCCCTTTGGGGCAAAGTTTAAAGCTGGCTGGCCGGACGCTATCGTGAAGCGGTGATTTCCATCTCGGCATTCCAGGGGAAGCAGGTGGCAGGTCAAGACGGCTTCACCGAGGTCGCGTCTGGCCGTGGAAGTGACGCTGGGTGGTTATCCTGGGTTGCGACACACTGGGTGGCGTCGGTCAATGACGGGTGTGCACTCGCACAGCACAACAACGGGGTATGGCGCCATCGTCGGAGTCCGAACACTGAATGCTGAGGAAGGTTGCAACTCACAAACGTGCGACTTGCGGATACTCAAGCCTCGGTGGTGGCAGGCGAAAGATGCGGGTACCCGCCGCCAAGAGGGCCACGTGCCTGAACCTGAGCAAGGGCAAATTGTCCGGCCGCTAGGTACGTCACCGTCACGCCAAACAGCTCAACATGCTACATGCGACACACGACATGCGTGACAGACTCTCCCATCTGCAGATATCGGTCGATTGATGAAGAACGCTGTACGACACGCCTGTGGCCCTGGTATGCTTTTTCCGCGTGTTGGCAAAAAGCAGCTCCGCCGGGGACAATCACACTTCCGCCACCCTATCATGCTTCAAGAATCGAAGGATGCGCCATCAGCCGGAACGCCCCGCCTCTCCATGTCGAACACGATCTCGTGTGTGAATCGCGTGTTGCTGATTACCAGCACAACTTCTGCGTTATCCCCACGCCACTCACGCGTGCATTTGTCACAGATCAGACCGCATCAATCATGGGAGTAAGCGAATGGCGGTGATCAAGCAACGATGCGACTTCAATACACACGCGACGAACGCGCGACTTAGGAGGATTAGCTGACACGAAGCCGCTCATCAATTCAGCTATACCTAGGTAGCTAATCAGATCCTTTCTAGGTACCGTTGGCCGGTTGGTGATACTCCACTCCGTCGATCGTCGTGGTCAACGTTCCGTTTGCTTCGAGTATGTTCTTCATCACATCGATTCTCAAATGAAACCCGTCCGGGCCAGTCTTCTTGCTTCCAGTCGCAGATCCCGTCTGCGAGATGTCAGAGTACCAATCAAGCTTCTGGTCCCACACATTCGGAGTCGAAACCGTCAGCTCAACGTCCTCCCAGCCGTTGATGATGTGCTCGCCATCATTGCAGAAGTTGGTGTAGTTGGCAGCGACACGCTTGATGGAGTCTCCTTGTGGATGTGCCGTGTCTCCGATGAGCTCCACTTTCGCAAAGCCAGAGATGCTTCCATGGAGTGTATAGTTGCCTGGCTTCAGTGTAGGTTGCGAAGGAATCTTGGCTCCTGATGGGAACGGCGTCGCCCACGGTATGCGACCAGGCACCTTGTAAACTGTGGCTGCACGCGTAGGCTTGCGATCGGTCATTTGGGCGAGCATGACACGATACTCACGCCCACCTGGGGCAGTGGAAGTTGGACACTGCAGCGGATTGATGCCACCACAGGCTGGCGAAGTCACAATGGCCTGCCAGTACACAATACGCGTGCTGTCCAAAGAGAAAGCCGGGTCCGCTCGGCCGTTCCAGTTCGGATCGTCAAAGCCTCCTTCGCTACCATCGCCTTCTCCGTTGACCTGCTGCCCGTAGTACGACTCACGATCCCCATAACGATCTATTAAGATTGGTTGGAAGAAGCGACGTGGGCCATTGTTGCGTGTAGATGCGGCTACAGCAACGGCAACGATGTCGATAAGAGGCGGAATACCTCGCATACCCGACATCCACATCTGGCGCTTGCTAGCACGCGTATCCTGAGTGACGAACCACTGGTTATCGGCAGAGAAAGCAATAGGATCAGCGTAATCAGGGTGACTGGTCAGGCGGCGAACAACCCCAGTCTCGATGTGAACCGCATACAGATCGATATTTGTCGACTCGGTCGGCGCACCGATGTAGAGTATCTCGTCGCCGGAACCACTGAAACCCCGCAGTTCGCCAATTGTGATTGAGTCGGGGTGAAGCTTCAACTCCTCGCCATCAGCCGTTATGAAAGCTCCGCGCTTTGGATCCACGAGCAGGTCGACATCAACCAGGTCATAGCGAGGCGCACCAGGGCCCGACCCTGAGGGCCTCGCATTGAACTCCAGACGCCCGAAGTAGGAATACTGCCCAGCGTCATTGGTGAACGAACTCCAACCAATATGGACATCGTCAGGGTGCATACGCAGCTCACGCGGACTGCCACCTGACCAATGAATCGGATAGATGTGGATATTGTCAGGCTTGCATTCATCGCTAGCCAACTGCTCTCCAATGCAGTCGAGGATGTTGTGGCCCCAGATTGCTTTGTCGCCGCTTCTGAAGACATGGGGATAGTCTCTTTGTGGATCCAGTTCTCTTGCGTTCTCAGCCGGTACCCCACAAGTTAGGCACTTCCACGAGTCGCCATTGCTGAAGTTTGAGCTATCAGCTTTGATGAGGATGAGCTGGACTCCATCGTAGATGCTCGCCGGGTCGGGGGCCGCGGGAGCTCCAACGAAGGTTACCGTGACGATGACGTTCCGGCCGTCTGGAGTGAAGTCTCCAGCTTGAAACTTCTCGGTGAGCTCTCTTGCGATGCACCCGGTCTGATTTGGACATGCGCCAGGGTCTTGGCTTGGAGAAACTGGGGGTAAAGGTAGTTCGACGATGTCAAATCTTTCGGGCTTTGGAGGCTTCGGAATGTCTAGCGGGGTGTTGAGCACAGCTTGTTGATCGTCGTTACTGGCTAGCAGCTGGTGACTGCTTTGATACGGCAGGAGGGCGCTTGCGCCAAGAGCAGCTGCAGCTGTGTATAAGTGCAGCAATACCATTCTGTAAGCAGTCGTCTTGGCCATGGTAACGGCTCGGGCAGATTGAAAGCATAAGGTGGGTCTTGCAGCAGTTGTTTTATAGATGATGCAGAGTGAAGCTTGCGGTAGCGCACCTCAATACGCCGGATACGCGATACGCGTACTGTGAGCTTTGACCCCGCCACCTTTCTATAGGCCGCGCGTGCCCAGGTGGCCTCCGACCGCAACACCACGCCATGCACCAACAGATCTGAAGAGGTGCTCGGGAGTCTACTTTTACACAAAACAAAGAGTTCTAGGTTGTTTTAAGGTGATGTAGTTCTCTGGGTTATCCGCGTAGAGCTGCGCAGAACTGCGCAGAACGAGGCCGACGCGACGGAGCACGCAAAGTAATCTGCATGGACCTCATGTTCGCGAGCGCGGCAACCTCTGCAAATCCAGCCATGGGGAGGATCGAGGTGTTGTAGTAGATTCGCTCCTGGGATCCAAAGCACAACATCCTTTCCCCTCGTCATCCTAGTTGGACGCAAAGATACCGACATCCCTAGGAGACTTGTATGGCTTGAGCTTCAAATCATCGTCCGTACCAGCTTCCGGTCGCAGTACTCTTGCATCCAAGAACTGGACTATGAACTTGTCAACTTCGCAGTCACGCATGGTCTTCAGATTAGGCTCATGCTCTCGGTAGTATTCCAAATATACCGCTGCGTATGCGATTGTAGCGCTGTTTGCTTTGGGGGTAAGCTTCCGTAAAGACGCCAGCTTAACTGCCCAAAGCTCATTGGCGTCGACCCGATCCTGTCAGATACTCCAGGACTGGTTGGCAGCTGCGGTGTCGTGTTCCGGCAAAAGCTGCTTCTTGTGTCCGATAGCGACGTCTCTAACTGCATGGTTCAATAAGAACCATTCAAGCTCCGTCTTGTTCAGCTGCTTTGTCTCGTACAGGCTCAATACGCCCTATTACAAAAAGCGGTTAGCACAAATTGGAAGATTGACGTAGACAGGAAAGTCGGAGAGCTCACCCTGACATCGCGCCATCGATTCTCGGCTTCCTTCTCAGCTGCAAAGACTGTCGCGTTCGGCAGCCATACTATGTCTGGCTGGCGAACTAGCATCCCCGTGTACGTCCGATATAGCGGCTTCTGTTCCTTTGACCAGGAGACATACACCGGCTTCCGAACGTCTGGTCCATCCGATGCCTTCTCTTTCTTGCCGTGCTTTTTGGTCAGATAACCGACTTGTATACCCGTCAGCGCGATTTGACGAAGCTTCTGCTCCGGCTTATGGAGTGGTCACTGATGTCGACTTCGTCGTCTTGCGCCTCTTGGGTGGTGATTAGCCGTTCCCACAAGCTAAGGAGTTCGGTATTCCGCGGGGTGGTGTCCATTGTTGTGCCTCGCGACGTGTAAGAGAAATTTCCCGCGTTGTATGAAGCTACCGCTTCCCAGACATCCTCCAGTCGCGCGATGTGACCGTCAAGTGAGGTATAGAATTTCTCTCTCTGGTTGGCTTTCCTGCTAGTGGGGTCTTCATACTTATCCCAGAACTGTCTGGCGTGCGTGATGGCGGCTATGGCGGATTTGACATCGTCATCGGGAATGCCGTCTCCATGGGGCCAGTCTTCGTCCTCAGCTGGAGGGGCTGGGGGCCCAGGGCGCTCGTATATTTCTACCATCGTTGGGAGTCTGGATGCGGGAGGATGGAAGAAAGAGTGAAGGTGCTGAAGGTCCAGCGTTGGTCGATATGCCCGCAAACCCAATCGGGGTAAAGGACGTGCACGCGCCCTGTTGGGGCAGTCCACGCTAGCCCGGGGTCACCAGAGCCCACCTGGGCGCAGCAATTGCAGTGATCATTTGGACTGGGCGGCACCAACCTCGAGTGCTGCAGGAGATGATCCCTCGATCCGGGCGCCCAGTCATAAGAAAGCCGCGATGGGCCTCAATACTATCGCGGCAAGCAATTCGTTGGGATATGGAACAGTGTCTGCGCAGTAGGCATGAGCTGTCATGTTGAAAGACGTATCACGTTACAAGCACAAAAGTAGGATAATCATCATGATACTGATTTAGCTATGGACGCAAGAGAAAACACGGTCATTAGCTGCAATGACCGAGCCGAGAAAGAGACAAGAGCTGCAGCTGCAGACGTGAAGAGAAGTAGCTTATTTGGACTGAGAGTGTGAGCGGAATTCATCATGTTATGTAGGGGAGAAACTTACAGCGTGAGACCAGAAGTGGTCGAAGTAGACCTTGGAAGGATACTCTGCCTTGAGCTCGGCAGGTACAGCTAGCCGATATGGCATTCCCGCCTTGTTGTTGTCCTTGAAGCGACCTGGCAAGTTCGCAGCTTTGCCGTCGGTCTTGCGCACAAGCTCCCAAAGCTGAGCAGCTCGCTCCCGTAGTCTAAGCTTGAGTTCCTCCGAAGGGGGGGAGGAGAGCAGGAACACAGCTTCGTGGAAAGCTTCGGCACGTGTAAGCTTGTCGGAGAGTGGCGCGGGAGGCCGAGAGGTCGTGGCAGAAGCAGCTGAGCTTGGTTCTCCAACAAGCCGCCGAAGCGGTTGCAGCTTGTTATCCCACTTGGCTCCGCGGAGGAAGCCCTGCCAGAAGTAGGCTCGTCGGTGACCTGCAGCGACTTGTTGCGCAGCCTGGGAGATGGCGGCAGCCTCGATCGAGAGGTCAAGCTTGGCCTGGAGCTCGCCGCGCATTCTGTAAGACGAAGTTAGTACAAGTGTCATGTACGATATGACAGCCCTCTCTTGCGCACACGCGCTACTAAGCGCAGCACGTCGACTTGCCGAAAGCTCCACGTGCCCCTCGGCAGCTTCCTTGAATCGAAGCTTTGCCTCTCTCTCCAACTCCAGCTCAAGAGTTATCTGCTCGACCTGGGCATGCAGAGCTCGGTTCTTCTCAAGGTGAAGAACTGCCTCGAGGAGCTCGAACGAAAACTCAGCTTGAGCTTCCTGATGCCGCTTGAGAAATGCGGTAAACGTCCGCTGCAAGGTCTTGTATGCGACCCGGTTTTGGTCGTTGATGTCCAGGAGCTTTGTCACCAGAGTCACCGCTCGCTCATCCGTCGTCAGGAATTCCAGGAGCTCTCCGTCATCCATCTCACGTGTCATACCTATCAGCTCAATGGTGTCTGTGACCTCGACAGCTTCCTTACGCGCGGCAGCTGCGTCCAGATCGCGGAGACGCTCTGAAGCTTCAAGCTCAAATGGTGAGTTGGTCATGATGTTTGATGGTGGCTGAAGCTCGATCTGCCCGCCATTAGGCTGAATCGTGACCTGGGCATGTTAGTAGATAAGATGTTCAGTGGCGACCACGTTCTACTTACGACGGTGGAGTTTGGATTGGCACCCTTGTCCGGAAGCTCGAACTTGATGCGCGTGTCGGGTGCAGCCAAGCTGGAGAATGGTGCCAGCGTTTCCATGGTATCAGGGGAGCTTTGAAGCTGCTCGATGAGCTTATTGAGCCCAAGCAGTGCTTCCACTGCCTTCTGATGCATCGGTCTCTCGGATATAGCGAGTCGCTTTGCTCGGTTGGGCATCTTGTATGGGGAGAAAGCGAAACAGGTGCACTGCCGTCTACGTTGGTATAAAAGCTGACGTTCACAACATTATGAGGTAATGTAGGCTTCTAGAGGGCAGATGCCCAGTCTTTTTCTTGTATGAGGTGTGGCCATTGCGCTTTGGTGAAATGCGAGGCCTTGGCTATGCCCGCATGTAAGTTATTAGTTTTGCTTGTGACTGTTCGTGCTGCTGACAAAAGCCTAGTACAGCTCAGCTTCTGTATACGCGACGCGTTCGCCATACGCAACAGCTTCGCCATACGCAACAGCTTCGCCATACGCAACAGCTTCCCCATACGCAACAGCTTCCCCATACGCAACAGCTTCCCCATACGCAACAGCTTCATCTTTTGCAACAGCTCCTCCGTTACAAACTGCTTTCGTAGCTCCTCCACTACAAACTACTTTCGAAGCTCCTCGTCCTTTCGCCCCACCTTTTACAGCTTCGCCCTCTACAGCTACATCGGTCGCAGCTTTTGGCGCGAAGTCGGCGCCTTTTGCAGCCCCTGCTACCCCGGCAGCAGCTCCAACGTCAGCTTCGGGGATAACTCTTGGAACAGCTTCTCAGGCAGCCCGTCCAAAGACTCCGGTCCAGCTACCCGCCGAGAAGCCTTCACTCTCGCATGAGCTTCGGACTCCGTCCGATAATGACGTTGCTGCTTTCGCAGCAGATGACGAAGATGCTGCAGTGGAGCAACAAGCTACCCTGTCATCCCTAGAGGGGAGAGCTACAAGCCAAGGTGCGGGTGCTTGCGAGAGGCTCGAAGCTAGTATGTATCACCCCGACGTCCGCGAAAGATCTAGACTGACTTGTTAATAGTAGCCGCCCCTCAAGCTGACCGACCTCGAAAAGCCCGTCGATGTGCGAAGCCAGTTCGAAAAGCCCCGATAGCTTCCACTCCACCGAGCTCGTTCTCTCCTACGCAGCTCAGCAAGCTCACCACAACAAGGCCGCACCTACAAGTGCTGAGCTCGACGAGCAAGACGGAGAGAACAGCGAAGTGGACAACGACGGCGCGTTTGTTGCGGTTTCGCGAGCTGGCCGTATGAAGCAGGTGCCCACGAACGGTCAGCTGATCTTCCTTACCGGGTTTGGCTTCCAAGCTTATCAGATGGCAAAAGCATGTGGCAGAAGCTGGACGTCTCGTCCCCAGAATTACGCAAAGAGCTGAAGACGGGCTTCGAGGCAATAACTAAAGCCAAAACAGCTACGCTGTATGCAAGCTTTTTGCTTCCAGCAAACATACAGGCGCACCTACGCCGATGGAAGTCAATGCACTATGCCTATGCGACAGTATACTGATGTGGATGCAGGCCTTCTCCATGCCCTGATAGCGAAGTCGGGAGAGCTGTTCCCCAAGAACCACGACGCTTGTGAATGGTGCGTCAAAGAGCGGCACATGTGCGCCAGTATCTGTGCAGGTCCGAAGGCGAGCTGCCTTTTGTAGGCTTCCTGCCTTTGGGTCCAAGCTTGCGGGAGGGCCTTGACCCAAACGACATCGGGGTGTTAACGAACTTCGTGACTATCTCTTGCCAGCTTCATGGTTACTTACCAGCTCCAATAGTAATTCTTGCTAGTTCGAGCTACAAACTAATGACACCTTCCAGTGCAATCCTATGTGCCTGCTTGTACCTTGCAGTCTCCATACCGATCATTACCTTGTGTCATTTCGTTTGCGTCGCTGGTTATACCGTATCGGGGAAGTTAGGGATGTCTACTGCGACTTTCGACTCATCAGAGGTGCCTAGCAGAGTAATAATTTGACACGCAAGAGTTGGAAGCTCGCCACTTGATGAAACGTTCCCTTGTGGTGGTGTTGGCGGTGACTCAGAGGAGCAATGAGGCGAACCGCTCTTTCGGGTGGCGTTGCGCCCTTCTGCTGACTCGAACGTCGCAACAGTACCGTTCAGTTTCCAGGCGTAAATGTCGCGCACCAATCGTAGTCGTTTATCGACACCGCGTCTTCGCTCGTCTGGAACCGCGGGAGCGTGAGTGACTGGCTATTCGGAACATGGCCATCGCAGATCCTGTAATAGGATCGCATCCATGGGTCGGAATCCGGCACAGGCTTGGAAAGATGAGGGCATGTTGTGACTCAGAAGAGCGGGTGTCTCTCGAGATACATATAAAGAGACTCGTGTCGGCTAACTTCGCATAAAGAATCGACCACCTGGAATCAACACCGCCACAAAGACTTCGCTTCTCCAAGCTAGAGCAGCAACCCAATCGAAAGGCCGACCTCAACTACTGCGGCCCAACTCTTCATCTGGTCACCAATCACCAACCCACACTTTACCGCGTCATCTCAATGTCTACCACCACCAACAAGGCCGAACAAGCCGTCTCTTACGCCGCCTTGATCCTCGCCGACGAAGGCATCGCTATCACCCCGGAAAAGCTGCAAGCACTACTCAAGGCCGCCCGCATCGAGGACGTCGAGCCCATCTGGACCTCACTCTTTAGCAACGCTTTCAAGGACAAGAACGTCAAGGAACTCATCCTCACTGCGACCACGGCCACACCAGCCGGTCGTGGTAATTATTCTGATATCAAGGACGATGAAAAGACAACTGCAGAGGATGGAGATGACGGGAAGGACGGAGAGGAGGGTATCGATATCGACGCGGACTCAGACGACGGGTCTGCATTTGGGGATCTGTTCGGCTAGGCAGCCAGTGGTGATGGGCAGGAGACTACGGCAAGACGGAGAGGAGCAACATCGTCTTGCTGGATGGACTGGGAGGAGTGCGAGAGTTTTGAGATGCTACGTTAGTTGCGCAACAAACAAGAGGATCTTTCTCTCGCAAAAGCTGCTACTCGTCTGGTGTGCGTAACTGATCCTGACGCGCACAACGTGCGATATTCGGCTTGATCCGTACTTTTCAAGCTGAGGTGAATGCGACCTGCTGACACTCCGATGGCTTAACGCCGCAACGTGCATACAAGCTTCGGTCCTGGCCTTGCAGCACTACAACTGTAAGGGTGTAGAGTAATCATGTCGTATCCAAGGGCTGGCGAACGTGGCATTTCACTTGGCCAATATAGCTGGATGATGTGCAGAGACTTGCTAAGCTTCGAGTTTGAATGTGAAGTTACGCGCTTCCCTCTCGAAGTCGGCAATGTGCTCAGGCCTGCTGTTGATCATAGATCCAGCTGATTCATGTTCCGCAATGCCAGGACACCGGAACGAGTAGTAAGCACTCAACTTGAAAGCACTTGGCAACAGCCAGGGAGAATGTTCGGTATATCGATGGCAGGCGGTCAATGCGAATCGTATGTTGTTCGTAAGAGATACGAGTAAGTTGCGTGTTTGAACATTTATCCTAGGCCTTGCTGCAGTGCGACGTGATGTGGTTCTAGAGTCCCCGAGCTACGACCGACCGAATATTAAGCTTTTGATTGCGACAGCTCGCGACCCCTGCTCGATCTGCAGCCATCTGAATCGGAACCCACGCCCAAGGATTTGGTGAGAACCTTGGAACTCTCACCCCGCAAGTACTTGCTGACAGTCAGCTCGGGTCCGTACGTTTGGGTCAAGAAACCCAAAATTGACGGGCCGCTACATCGGCTGTAGAAGGAAGGGTTCTGTGATACAACTGCGCCATGATGAGCTTGCTGGCTTCCAGGGTGATGAGCAAAAGTGTTGTGGCGCGTCGAAGTAGTGCCGGCCTGTGCATAAGATGTGCACGCGATCGAGGAGCGCACTCTGAACCGCTTCGGCGCATTCCGAGACAGCAGGCTAAAGTAACATACGACTGGTAGGTGACATCCGTAGTATTCAAATAAAGCGCACCGGTTGTTTTCTGGATCGGTCGACCTTGAGGTCAAACACGTCGGGTCGCTGATATCCGCCAACTACATCATGGTATTGTTTGCCCTCGATGCAGTCGTCAAGATTCATGTCGGCATACAATATGTCTTCTTGATCTTGCAATGCGGATACATGTTCTTTCTCCGCACCTTTGTAGGTGAAGCTAGGCAACGGCGCGCCGGTAGGATCCAGGAAGAAGGTCGCGGCGCGAGGCATAGCGTGTAGGGTCTCGGCTACCACATCCGCTTGACTTGCACCCTCGATGATCGTCTTGATGGCATCTTCACCAAGATGGCCTGAGCATGCCACACCGAAACATTTTGCTTCAAAGCAATGTGCTGCAGCACGGGTCTTGTTTGCGGCTAAGTTGTCGTAGTTTGTTCCACGCGCAGCGCTTGGACTCGACTGCTCATTGCTATCGTCGGTGGTTTGCTCGGCAGTTTGCGCTGTGTGACGCGAAGTTCTTGTCGGCCATATCGTCGGCCAAGTTGATATATGAATTTGCTCTGCTTGCGCGATCAAAGAGTACCTTGCAAGTGCATTAGTGTTTTCGCCACAGATTAACGCGCCGATACGCCCGTACTGCGTGTTAGCAACACGCAGCCCATAGCCGTCACCGCTACTCCATGTGAGCTTTTCGAAGAAAGTCGGGACCAGCTTTCGATGGTGAACTAGGACTTCGCCTTCGGATCCAATGAAGATGTTCGAATTGTACAGGCAGCCGTTGCTGTGTCGCGACCTTTCGCTGAAGCCGATGCTCACTAGGATGTTGTTTGACCGAGCCGCTTCGCGCAACGCCTCCATTTCATCGCCGTCAGCATAGATAGATTCTTGTACCATACGCTGGAACAGCGAGTGATTTTCAGTAGGGGGCCGTAGCGAGCTCCAGATTGGAAAAGCAGAGATGTAGGTTTCTGGAAAGACCACGAGGTTGGCCTTGTTAGATGCCGCTTGTCTGATGAAGGATAGGGCTTTATCTGTTGTTTTGCGTGCATTGAGAAAGACAGGTGATGCATGACAGGCCGCAACGCGTAAGCTGCTTGCCATGACGGACGGCGTCTTTTGTTTGTGCTCGTGTCTGTGAGTGAAGGAAGAGGACAGTGTTGATGGCAACTAGGCATTCAACCCCGCGCCTGCGGCGTGATTTCCCCGCACCTCTTGGAATTACGCAACCAGTTCATATCGTCCTCACGAGCTTCTGCAAGCTCAACAGTGTTCAATAATTGAGCCTGCTGCATCACTGGAGTGTTCCATGATCTCTGGTCCTCTCTCGGTTCCCGAAGCGGCTGTCACTACGCCAAGAGGGGGCATCGTTTCACGGACAGGTTTTACACAAAGCGTTGCCTTCACGAAGCCCCCTAATTTCGCACACCCAGAAGAGACAGCTTCATCAGCCAAGCCATGGCTGACTTCCTATTGAGAGGCATCGAACGCGATGCTTTGCAGGGAGCGAGCAAGGGAAGACGGAGATGCGACCTAGGCATAATCGGACTTGCCCGGTTCCCTAGCGGATGGTGCTGACACCCACTCTTTCAGCTAGAGCTGTGGCGTAAAATCGATACGCAGCGTTGACTTGGAATGTTCGCTGTCGGTGGATAGAGACCAGATGTGAGCAGGAACCCGTGGCCCGGTGGACGAGAGCCTTGGCCGTTACGCGCTAACCCACTAGCGTATTCAGACTGTAAATTGTCTGGGCCACTGTTCACTCCTTCATCGTTCCTCAGTATCATGTATAATCCACACACGTCTGTTCGCGCGAGAAAAAGTTCTTTCAGTAGGCGGCTAGGGGACGTGTGACTGTGCCGACATTGAAAGACCTGCATTACAGCCCACTGAAGTACAGGCGTAGCTTCGGAGCGGCGATCCGATGCGGTAGCACCGTAGGTACAACATCAATCGCAGGGAGCAGCTAATTTCCTGAGATAACGAGCATTCTTCAGGAAGTCCGGTATGCACATGGCTCGATGCAGCATGTGTGTACGATCGATGTTGTGACCTCGGGACAAGGACAGCAATTAGCCGCCTTGCCACAACGCCCGACCAGAGCACACATGACACATGATCTTGATCATCGTTACGTTGCCGTATTGATGAATTATCTCATTTTGATCTCAATATTTTCCATTTGAGGTTCGTCAGGAAGCAAAAAGTTGTAATAACTCAGTATAGTCGTAATCCTGACGGGGGGATAACGACGTTGGCTGCATCATTTTTTCAGCATTAATCGACCAGAGCATAGCCCGTCGCTATATCGCCATCGGTGACCGATGTAAGGCTTAGTGAAGCAGCGGAATCAAGGCGCTGCTTGCTTTGTCACCAACTCGAGAAGTTGGAAGGCGTTTCAGCCTAGCTCGTGGGATAAGTGACGTTCCAGGTCCGGCAATGTGCCGAGCAACCTGGGAATCCCACGGCAGTGACCGAAGCCACCTTCCACGTTTCGAGCTGGTTCCGGTACCTCAATTTCAGGAACTGTGCAGCCATTATCAATCTACTGACCAATCAAGCTACCGCGACGGCACCGATTGATGCGAAATTCCGCAGTGGGTCACCCGCGTGCCTGGACTGACAATCCTGACATGAACCACATCGGTCCGATGCAGCTTCGGTGCCCTGTGCGTCCAATTCATGCTAAACAACAACCCAGTCGCGACCGCCTCTGGAGCGCTTGGCGACACAGCGGGACGTAGTGGTGCTCCACTTTAGACGTTTTGACAGGATTGTTTATCAGATGAAGGGACTTCACGGCCCTTCTCCGATGACGCAAATGGTTTCGAAACCCAAGTTGGCAAGTAGCGCCATGGAAGTCCAGTTTGGCACAGATGGTGTGCAGGCAAGGGTTAGATGGCATGCAAGATCTTGTGCCCAGAGTGACTTGCATGCCGAATAGGCACAGCTCTGCCCGTCCCATGTCTCCCAGGCTTGACTGAGGAGGTATAAGAGTCTTGGGATCTTCCACTCAACCCATCTTTCACCCAACGTCGATCTTTCCTGCTCTTAGATACCCCAACAGTACTCGCTCAAGATGCGTTACTCACTTCTTGCTTTCGCTACTTGCGCTCTGGCAGCACGCCCCTTCCTCAACGAGCCCGATACTGGTATCGACGACCAGTTGGCTGGATTCGTCGCTAATGACACCCTACCTCCTCTTAAGTCTTTGGTCGGCCTGCCAGACTTCCAATGGGTTGGCCGCCAGCACATGAACACCTCCGCCTACACATACTACCGCAACGGAGCGGCTGGCGAATGGTCGTACCGCAACAACCTCGAAGTCTTCTCGCGCTACCGATTAAGGCCCCGCGTCCTCCGCGACATCACCAACATCCAAGCCTCAATGCCCACAACTATTCTCGGCCACAACTTCTCAGCACCCTTCTTCATCTCCCCATGTGCGCGCGGTGGATATGCCAACGAGGATGGTGAGCTTGGCCTCGTTAAGGGTGCCGGCGAAGGCGACATCCTCTACATGACCTCGCTCTACTCGTCCAAGAGCTTGGAAGACATCTACGCTGCTCGCCCCAACGGCTCAGAGCAAGTCTTGTTCCAACAAGTATACCTTGACGGTGACATGAACGACACCCAAGTCCTCTTCAAGAGGATTGAGGATCTCGGTGCGAAGGCTATTGTCCTGACTGTCGACTCTCCCGGTGATGGTGTCAGGCACCGTGCTGCCCGCTACGGTGTCGGTTCCGCAGACGTCAACCTGAGTCTTCTGACTTGGGATCTGTACCAACAGCTGTCCAACATGACCTCCCTGCCTATCATTCCCAAGGGTATCCAGACCGTCGAAGACGCTCGCGAGGCCGTCAAGCAGGGTGTAAAGGCCATCTTCCTCTCCAACCACGGCGGCCGTCAAACCGACACTTCGCCATCATCTCTCGAAGTCGCCTTGGAAATCTACAACGAAGACCCCGAGATCTTCCAGCAAATCGAGGTTTACGCTGACGGAGGTATCCGCTACGGAACCGATGTTCTCAAGCTCCTCTCTCTCGGTGTGAAGGCTGTCGGTCTCGGAAGGCCCTTCATGTACGCCAACATCTACGGCGCTGAGGGTGTCGCAAGGGCGACAGAGATGCTCAAGTACGAGCTCATCAACGACGCGGCGAACATTGGTGTAACCGACCTTAAGAAGATCGGCCCAGAGTTTGTTAACTGGAAGTCTCCTGCTGTTAGCTTCAGCGTATAGACGGTGACGTCACCAGTTCTTGCTGCGCAGGAGCTCGAAAATCCCTTCTCTTCAACTAGGTGTATATACTTTTAGCGAACAATTTATCAAGACTTTCTTCAACCTCAAATTGCCGTTACGTTCTGCACAATCCATGATCGCGACTACACAGGCTACAGAAACCGATGAACGACAAGGCTTACCGTTGTCGCGGGAGCTGGACGGTGTAACAAAGTAAGCATAATTTGTCTGGCGGTATCGTCAGTATTGTCGCAACAACTACACACGCTTAAAGCGTTAAGGAGGCTACTTTCTACGCGTTCACGCGTCCAAAAAGCAAGCCCGTACCTAGCCTTCCAGGATCAAACACGCTAGTGTCTTAGCGTGTTGTGCGCCTTCCCGAGGCCCAGTCTCACGACTCTTGCTTCCATCCCAACCCCCAACATCAGTCGCCCGCAAGTATCGAGTAGAGAGCGTCAGATGCTGTCCGATAGACATCCGTGGTCTGCTCAGCAAGAACAGGCGCAAAGTGTCAGTGACGCCGCCATAGCCCGTTCACTATTCGCAGGCCCATTCGGTACCTTATCGCGCGCCTTATCGGCCACGTGTAGGGCGCATCTCAAGCATTTCCCATGAAAATGCGCTGCACCTCTAGCCCTCCATACGCGATGACATACTCAATCGGACATTGGTTAGGTAATGAAGACACTCGCGCTAGACATTGAAAGGCAGGTGTACGCCGGACGCGACAGCGTCCTACACTAACAATATTTCCTCGCGCTTCATCTACGGCTTCCATAATTGGGCCTCAACCTTAACGCGGTTCTCCTCTCAAACTCTAGCAAGAACGAAGCTAGTGGTATAGTATCTCGGATCTTCGCTGCTCACGTCCCAGTTGACTTGAACAGAGATAGCGGACTCGGCCAAGTCATGGTACATGCCACGGACACGGATGCGAAGCCACAAGATGCGACAAAACCCTCGACGCAAAGCGCTACTATCGGGAACGGAGCGAACACCTTGTCTGGGAATGACGTAGTCATCAGCTACCGAGGTGGCATCGTCGAGAACAGACACAACGTACACGCGGCCATCGTTGACGCCTCTGGCAAACTACTCTGCACAATTGGCGACTACCAAAGGATGACCCTTGCGCGATCATCAACAAAGCCGATTCAGACCCTTGCGATCCTGGAGACGGGAGCTGCGGAGATATTCGATTACGATGACGCAGATGTAGCGCTCATGTGTGCCTCGCATAGTAGTGAACCTCGACATATCGAACGAGCACAAGCGATGCTGGAGAAGACAGGAGAGAAAGAGGAGATTCTTACATGTGGTGGACACCCCGCTCAGAACGCTGCTGTCAATCGCGCGTGGATCAAAGAAGATTTCACACCGACTGCTATCTACAACAATTGCTCTGGAAAACACGTCGGTATGGTAGCAGGTGCCGTGTGTCTGGGCGCTACGGCTCACGACTACTACCTACATGAGCATGCCATGCAGCAGCGCGTGTACCGAGCTGTTGAGGACATAAGCGGGCTTACTAAGAAAGAGGTGCTATGGACTGTCGACGGATGCAATCTTCCAACACCAGCGATGCCTCTTCCGAACCTCGCGCTCATATTTGCCAGGCTTGCGGATGCCGCTGACCTTTCCGATGGTCCCTCGAAAGAGACCCTGGATCAGAGAACACAACATCTAGCTCGGATTCACAAGTGCATGGCCAGCTACCCTGGACTGGTTGCTGGCGAAGGTCGCTTCGACACAGCGCTTATGACGCCTTACGACGGACAAGTCGTTGGCAAGATCGGAGCAGATGCCTGTTATGCAGTAGCAGTTCGGGCTTCACCCCACGCTGATCTGGCTGGGGTGAATCACGGCGCTATGGGAATTGCCGTCAAGGTTGAAGATGGCAACCTCGATGTATTGTATGCTGCCGTCATCGAGATACTGGAACAGCTGAACATCGGTTCAAGCGAAGTGAGGCAGTCGTTGGACGGTTGGCGATATCCAAAGATCGTCAATACTGCAGGTGTTGTCACGGGCAGCTACGAGCATTGCTTCAAAGTACGAAGTATGGTGTAGTAACAATCTTACAGAACAGTATCGACGTATATATTACCAATCCTCTATAGCCCTCTGAACCGAGCTGCCGCAACATACCACCAATACAAACCGAAACGGTGTGTTGGCTAACCTCGTAGATATCAAGAGTTGGGCGGCCTAGAAAGGAAGCATCCCATCAGACCCGCCGTGAAAGGTATCAGATGTACAAGAAGATCATCTAGCCTCATACCCAAAGGAGCAAAGCTAGCCATCTTCAAGAGTATGGAACCCACCTCTTTGCAGAACACGAAGATCGTCATACCATTCCTCACCCATGTACGAACATCTCGGCACATCTCCAAGTACGGTCTTTGCCCTTTCCTTCTCTCCAGTGGAAGGGTTTCGAAGCCGGCTAATATGCTGGGTCCGTCGCCCGAAAGTCCGGTTCTCTTGCGGAACTCGACTAGTGTTCTCATGCATGCTAACCATCTGTCCAGAGCCACTTTACACTTTTCGTACTCATGGTCCAGCGCATTTTTTAACTCCTCGGAACATTGCACAGCTATGCGTTTGATGCGCTCCATAGTGTTCTGCATGTGTGCAATCTCATGACGTCCAGCGTCTTGTGGTTCGAGAAGAACAAGTAGCTGGATCCCCAGCTCTTCGCGATCAAGAAGTGGCTGGTTCGACATCGAGCCCAGACTTTGAACAGCATTCTCACTCCCGACTTGATCGTCGACTGTTGCTGGCATTACAGGACGGAGGAATGAACGAGGTTGTTTCGTACGGGGTAGGCTCGTTACTGGTTGTGTTCTCGTTGGTGCCTTCTTCGCGTTGCTTCGTACAGACTGTGCGGTCGTGTGCTTATTTCCTACCAGTTCGTTTCGCTGCGGCTTCCTCTTGACCGTTCGTGTGGTTTTGGAACTCCAGGGCTTCCTTGGGGATACTACAGCAGCTACGCGTTTGGTATTGGATCGTTGTGCAGGAGTTTGAACTGGATTCTGAGATGCTCCTGATGATTGCAACTGACTTCGAGGAACAGCATTGATCATTTCTGCGTGTTTGGTGTTCCCTGAAGTGCCAGCCCAATAGTCAAAGTCCAATTCATCGATATCATCATCTGATGACAAGGTGAGACTGCGATGAGGCTCATCGCGATTCGTACGGACTGCTGCTACGAAGCTCGAAGGTCTCGTAGACGCTTTCACCCGTGCTTTGTAAGGGTTCTTCTTTCCACCGGCTTCGACTTTTCTACAGGCGCGCTGGATGATCCACGCAGAGACTTGCAGACGTATTCTATGTGAAGTGAGCTTAGTACCTTACGCTTGAGAATATATTGTTTAATTTAACTTACTTGTGTTGATCACTTCGATCTTCGTAGATTAGATGTCTTGGATACGTGCTCTGGGCAATCTTGACACGAGCCTTGGCTTTCGTAGACTTCTGAACTCTGAAGGTATCCTTGGCTTTGCGGTTCTCGCTGACTCTGTCCGGAGTATCGATACGTGTGACGAAAGATTTTTCAACGCCATCATTCCAGACCTGATGGCCGAACTTATTTACACAATCTCTTGAGATTTCCTCTAGACAGATGTGTCGATCTCGGAGAGCATTGCGTATAGCGTTTCTTGTCTTGTATTGCGTCGCAATAGACTCGACAATAGGCTTCGTTGAATCCCAGAAGCGTTGAACTTCGGGTACCGATTTGAAGTCTGGCTTGCCGCACTTCCTAGGATCCTTTGCTAGATTGATTAGCCCAAGGCGTGACAGATATACAACAGCGTGTATTCCCCCCTTGGTGCATTCCTCGATCAAGCTCAGGGAATCATCATCTGGTGGCATAACCCCAGGATCAGTGAGTTCTGTTACCGTTAGTTAGTCGATGTCTTCCTTCTCAGAATGCATATAGGGGATATGTGCGCACCTTCGAAGTAGAATCGAAATCGTGGAGACTACAGGGCGTTGATAGCGTCTGAAAGTGATTGCTTCGATGTGATGAACACAGTAAGCGCAATACAGAGGCTACCGGCCAAGGACGAGGTTATTCTCCAGTGCCGTGCTGCGAGACTCCCCAGGTGGAATGCAGAGAGGGCATCCTAATGCTTTACTTATAACAAGACAGCAACTTCTACACACCAGAGTATATTCTGTACCCAGAAAGATGATGATTTCGGTAGCCAAGCGCAGGACTGTTTCGCCGAATCGCCGGAAGGATTCATACCTGGCGAAGAATCTACTCCTCGCATACTATGAGTCATTTCCCTGGTCGTTTCTATAAATCAAGGTACGCTATGCCAGAGCAGCTACCGTGATTCTACCAGTAGAGAAGCTCGGATGACACCCGCAGTTCCTATTCTGAGGATGCAATTTCGGGGAACATCGTCTCGTGCCAGATTGCTTCCACGATCGGCGACGAAGGACCTTCATAGCTCTACACAAAGTTAACCCATTGGCTGAAATGATGCTGAGATGTTGTTGAGCTGCAAGACGTCTAAGTACGTTAGGCAACAGGCCAAGATCTGGTCTGAGAGCGTCCCTTGCGGATTTCGAGCGGAGCGGAGATTACGTCCTATCCACCCCAGATTCCCTGTTGTTCTCTAATGGGAGAAGCGGTTCTCGTTCCCCAGCGAATCGTTGCTGATCACCCACTGCCTTATCAGACGGGTGTAGCAAAGCCGTTGCCGCGGGCTGTGCGTTCGGGATCCCACCTGGGCATAGGCTGTAAGTCAGCCATACCTTGAAGGAAATCATGCGTCTTTCGTGGCAAATACGAGGAACCAAAGCTTGGCCACACTAATGTTTCAGAGATTGCGTCACAGCAAGAAACCTCACTCTCAATGAATCCGTCTGGTCTCGGGAATAAAGATATGCCCAGGCTGACGTTGCCGATGACCCTACGCAGCTTAGGCAACGGTTTTGACAAGGCCGAAGCCCTGGGAAGGAAAATCAAAGCAAGGTAGACGGCATAGTTCAACGGGTGGCTGCGAAAGTGCTCATGCGCAGACTGATGGTGTGTGGCTTGTCGAGCCGAGACTGCATGGCACATGGCTATGCAGGTATGAGTCCGAATCACACATTAGCGAGTGATCTACAATGAGAGAAAGTGCTGAGTACCGTTATCGGTGAAGCCTTGGGGATTCTGCGTCGCTTCTACACCCTGGGAGCGTGCATGCACTGCATGTTGTCTAGTGGCTGATACACAAACACTGACGCTAACTCAATTTAGCTCTAGAGGCAACCGCGCCGCATTGCTGCCAGCATCTTAATCCTGCCGGTGAAGGACCTGGCAATAACTAGCGACCCCTTACGCCCCTTTCTTGCGGCGGAACGCACCGCGTACGTTTCTATTCAATTTCCCGGGTCGGAGGCGCACACCACAGGGGCCGGGAAGAAATGAGGAGTCCAGGAGCCGGACCCCCTAGTCTATGGTGTCGCTTTGACCGACGTTTCGACAACTGTAGGTCCGAGGCAGGGGTCATCTGTTCCGATCCCTATTGAAGATCGGCCCGGAGAACATTTCGGACGTCTGTCAAAATGCAGCGTTGACTTGATCGAGTAGAAAGAATAGGTTAGAAACGTACAGTTGCTTCCATAACGCCATTTACTGGTCTTCTTCTAATTAACAAAAAAGACAGATCAATAAACTCCTAACCCGCGTATGACCCACAATGATGGAGATGATACATGCGCGAGAGTCCTAATCGAACCCTACAGCCGGCCAAGTCAACATGTTGACCTCTTCAGTCCCCAAAGACTGATCTCGCGTTGCCTTGTCTAGTACGAGCAACAACAACCATACCAAAAGGACAAGCGCCACAAGAAATAATACCACAAGTGTCCACGTGCGACCGGGCTTCTTGAAAAGAGTACAGGCTTCCGTAGACTCAGCCGCTTGATCTGCGTGTTCGATCTCTTGTGAAGGCCGCTGCCTTATTTTCACGCATGCACGCTGAATAATCCAGCAAGACACGAGCGTTTTGATACTGTGAGGAATGTATTAGCTAGTACTCAGACCCGCTGAAATAATACTGACTTGTTGCGATCTTGATCATCTTTATACAAGAGGTAATCGGGTCGAACATAGTCCTGGTTCAGTTCGTCGATGTCGTTGGCGCATGGCTTAAAGCCACTATCGTGGTTCCACAACAAGGGACCATACTTCTTCATGAGTGGCTCCACGTTCGCATCGAGAAAGGTAGGTTGCGAACGTATCGCCTCACATAGTTTTTCCAAGGAGAGGTACGTGTCAGAGATTTGATCCACAATCTCTTTAGTCGCTTTGTTGAGGTCGCAGGCTGTGCCCTCGTATCTGGGCCGTCCTCGTTTGGTTCCGCCTTTGTCGCCTACAGAGGGCTGTCGTAGTCCCAAAGGCTCGGTGTAATGGTGAACTCGGGCTGTTTTGGAAGTAGCTTCGAGTAGCTTTTCTAATGTTTCGGGCGGTTTGGGGGTCGCCATGTGAGGACCCGCACCGAGAGACAGCATTTGGAGCCAAAGCAGGTAGCGAGTAACGAAACTGGAAGGATGTCAATCAAGATATCAGATAGTGGACGCGTTGCTTTTGGTGCCCGAAAGGGTCACATCTCCCAGTGAAGCACCCACGAATCCGTGAAGATCGCTTACCTGTCGGAGTTGTACGAGTCGGCAGAAATAGAGAGGTGTTGAGTCAGAGATGTTAGGCACGAGCTGGATGATGCAACAAGAACTCAGCTTTGAGAGATTAGATGATTTAAGTACGCAGACGAACCTTGAGCCCTCACCGTCCTCCCACAGCAACTCTCCGAACGAACAGCGTGGCTTAGAGACATATGCTATTCCGGGCTTGTCTCAGTGAAGTTGTTGTTCGAGCGAGACCCGGCTCGCTGCCACTGAAACATCCTGGCTTTTTACAAAGCTCATGGCCACGCATTTTGAGTGAGACATGCCAGGTGGGCAGATGGACTTTTGTTGGTGCCAAAGGGTTTAAGCCGAAAGCTGGCTCACTGTCTCGGATGCTTCTACGGTAGCTTGACTCCTTGACAGGCAGGAAAATGTGGTTGAATAGCGATGTCGGGGTTTTCTCGGTGTGTCCAGCAGTGCGATCATGGCTTGTGGTTTGCGTCGCTGGCAAGACAAACCGGTCGGTGTGACTGCGACCAGTCGGTCTCATTTGCCGACATCTTTAACGACGCATCGGCCTAGATTCCAGGATATTCTTTCTTGAGGTCCTGCATATAGGCCAGTCTTGTGTTGTGGTGTTTTGTGCAGGTCGGGTGAAGTGGAAGCCACGAAGAGGGCACCTGCAGCTAGCGCGAACGCGTGACGTCACGCACCACTACATGCCATGGAAGATGGTAGCTGAAAACAGAGCCTGAAGGATTTCGCAACGGTATCATTATCAAAATTGTGAACAATAGTATTGTGGAGTAAGTTGGGATAGTGTAGGAAGGTCACAATCATTGGGTTGTAGTCGATCGACTTCCTCCCACTTGCTACCTTTTCACCAAAAGTGCCCAGCCGTCCTTCAGAACATCACCAAACGCCCGACCATCCTGTCAACGCCCACCCAGAGTAGCCAACAAACACAAACTGTTTTTAGGACCGCTTTTGCGCCACTCACCTCATTAAGAGCTATCCAGCTTCTCTATCATCGCTAGCAGCTCATTCTGGATGTCCACCTCTTGCTTGACTTTGACCCTCTTCGACTCTGATACAGCGCTCGCCGCGGTGGCCTCAGCGTTCCGATTAGAAGTGAAACCTGCATATACTGCAGCCATATCACCGGGAACAGGTCTGGGTCGCTTCCGCATGGCTGCTGCCGGGATGTCGAAGTACGGTGAGCCCTGGATAGCCCTGTCGGTGATGCTCAGTGGCTTGATGTTACCGTCGATAGGACCAGGAATGTAGGGGCTGGGCTTGAGCATAGACGGCATGGTACCGCTGAGCGAAATCTGGGTACTAGCCTCAATTCTCTTCGCCTGCGCTTCCTCTGCTGCTCTCTTCACGCGCCAGTCAGGGGTCTGTTGTCCTGATGAAGCTGGGCGACCACAGAACTCATATTCTGCTATTTTGGAGCGACGAAGTGGACCCCTGGCAAATACAGTGGTAGAGTTTTCGAGATATGCTGGCCGGCCACGATTTGGCCTGCTGGCTTTGATGTTGCCCAAGTTGTCAAAATCGTAGGGCCAGAATGTGCTGAGCTCCTTCGCGGTATATGTTTGGGAGTTGTAGACTGCGTAGCAGGCTTTATCGTCGAGGTATACGTACCTTGGGGGCTCCTTTCTGCCATAGATGATGGGACGTGGTACCTTTGCCATGTACATCTTCCAGGTCGGATGACCGCGGACTGTAGTCTTCGACCGCATAACGAAGGTCTTGTTGGAGTCGCCATTGCCATCGCCATCGTGCCAAAGGATTCGCATTCGTTTGCCGTCGGAGACCATTGTATTCTCCCGGCCGGGGGTTGCTGCTGCAATGTACCCAGGTTTGACCATGATGTATCCGTCTGGGTGTTATTTTACCTTACCTTCCAGAAAAGCTTGACGTATGCAGGCGGATACAGGGGTTTGCGGGAGCTGGGGATTGTAGGGCTGCTTATTTGATGCCTGGAATCATGAATGGAAAAGAAAGGGGGACTTACCACTGAAATGAATGATGATGATGATGATGATGATGATGATGATGAAGGAAAGCTAGGTTAGAACGATATGGGGGATGGAAGAGGAGTCGTGCAATGAGAGAGGAGTATTACATAGAACTTCAAGAGCTCTGCTGCCAGCGAAGACGGAAGCCAGTAACCACGTGGCAGGTGAGACGTACCTTGAAATCCACCATGATCCACTACCACGAGGTTTAGACAAGAGGAATGATGGGTGTTGATAAGATGCCGCGCTATATAATCAGGGTCTCCAGCAAGACAGCTCGTAGCTATCAGACATTCCACACAACAGACTGAATGTTCGATGACCTGCGATCAACGAGACGAGCATTAGCTCGTCTCAAAGGCCTGTGCTGCTCTTTGTGAAGACGCCGCACGAGGACTAAAACGAGTGCTTACAATTGACGTGGAAAACTTGACGAAAAGTTCCACGATAGAAATACATTACTGCTCGACACGAACACTGTACGATGACAAAAGGTATCTTTGAAGAGCGTGGTTCTACGGCGACATCGGAATGGCTCGAGTTCACCGCATTGCAGGAGCTGAGAGGAGTGTTGCGAGCGATTCTGGACGAAAAGGGTGTAATTGCATTCTTGCGGCATCTCGTCGATGGTCCGTGACGATGATGATGATGGTGCGGTCGAGTCGGACCTTCCTGGCGGATTGATGTCAACGATGTTGGCTCGGGCCAATCAAAGACGCCAAGAAAACGGTAGGTCATCCAGATCGAACTTCACGACCGCCACCACTCGCATCGCCAGACCCAACGCTCGCTGGACCCCCGAGCATCAATTGCGCGAGACAACACACACACAGCAATCACGATGCTCGCACGACACGCACCTGCCTCATCGGCGCTCAGCGCGGCCGCCCACCGAACGCTGCCCGCGGCTTCGGCAGCTACTCGCCTTTCGGCCGCTGCCCCCCAGAACCGCACACAGAAGAGGACGCTTGCGACGGTCCAGGATGCGCCACCAAAGAGGACATACGGCGGCTTGAAGGACCAGGACAGGATCTTCCAGAACTTGTACGGACACCACGGTGCGGATCTTAAGAGCGCGCAGAAGTATGGTGACTGGCACAAGACGAAGGAGATCCTTCTCAAGGGTCACGAATGGGTGTGTAGCGGCAGCTGTATAGGGCATACGAATCAAGGCTGACGGGTATAGATCATCTCTGAGATCAAGGCTTCTGGTCTCCGTGGCCGAGGTGGTGCTGGTTTCCCCTCTGGTCTGAAATGGGTAGGCAACGTCAAGATCTGTCACCACGTCCTCTGCTAACGGTTGCAGTCATTCATGAACTTCAAAGATTGGGACAAGGACAGCAAGCCCCGCTATCTCGTCGTCAACGCCGACGAGGGTGAGCCCGGAACCTGCAAGGACCGCGAGATTATGCGCAAAGACCCCCACAAGCTCATCGAGGGCTGCCTCGTCGCTGGCCGTGCCATGAACGCTACCGCCGCCTACATCTACATCCGAGGAGAATTCTACCACGAAGCCACCGTACTCCAGCGCGCCATCCAGGAGGCATACCAAGCCGGTCTTATCGGCAAGAACGCCTGCGGCTCCGGATACGACTTTGATGTCTACATCCACCGAGGAATGGGCGCCTACGTCTGTGGTGAGGAGACCTCTCTCATCGAGTCGCTAGAGGGCAAGCCCGGAAAGCCTCGCTTGAAGCCTCCGTTCCCCGCTGCTGTCGGTCTTTTCGGATGCCCTTCCACTGTCGCCAACGTCGAGACTATCGCTGTCGCACCCACAATCTGCCGACGAGGAGGCAGCTGGTTCGCTGGCTTCGGTCGTGAGCGCAACCAGGGTACCAAGCTTTTCGCCATCTCCGGTCACGTCAACCACCCTTGCACTGTAGAGGAGGAGATGTCCATCCCTCTCCGCGAGCTCATCGACAAGCACTGCGGTGGTGTCCGTGGCGGTTGGGACAACCTGAAGGCTATCATTCCTGGTGGCTCCTCGACCCCCGTCCTACCCAAGCACATCTGCGACGACCAACTCATGGACTTTGACGCGCTCAAGGACTCGCAGTCTGGTTTCGGTACCGCCGCTGTCATCGTCATGGACCAGTCTACAGATATCGTCCGCGCCATCACCCGTCTCGCCAAGTTCTACCACCACGAATCCTGCGGTCAATGCACACCATGCCGTGAGGGATCAAAGTGGACTCACCAGATCATGGACCGCTTCTCCAAGGGCCAGGGTCGTGAGCGTGAGATCGACATGCTCCAGGAGTTGACCAAGCAAGTCGAGGGTCATACCATCTGCGCGTTGGGCGAGGCGTTCGCATGGCCGCTCCAGGGTCTCATCAGGCATTTCAGGCCAGAGCTTGAGGCTAGGATGCAGGACTACGGATTGAAGAACGGTGGTCAGGCGCTGGCAGGTGGATGGGCACACGATTCCGCCAAGAAGGGTCTTCTTGTCTCGCCCGGCCAGTAGAGGATGAGCTGGGAGATTTGTACTATGCATTTTCCATGTGTTTGAATTTTGATTTCGGCGTGCAATTACTTTGAGGAGCTGAGCTGTAAATAGTTTCTCGGCGCAAATAAAGCAAGATTGAAATTGAGTCGCATGACAACCTTTCTCGCAGTCATGACAGCAACGCCGGAAACGCCTTGCAAACTAAAGTAAAAGTATTTCCTCCGCCCTCGCCCTCAGGTCCCCATGCAGATCTGGATGAACTCCTCCCTCGAAATCGCGTTATCGTTGTCCATGTCGAACTCCTCAATCATAGCCACCAACTCATCATGCGATAGCGCCTCACCCAACTCCCTCGCAACACGCGTAAGATCCTGCAGGGTAATCGTCCCCTTCCCGCCCTCGTCAAATAGCTCAAAAGCCCTAAGAATCTCATCTCTCGGATCACGACTCAAAATCCTCTGCGCCATGAGCGTCTGGAACGCCTGAAAGCTCAGCAACTGTCTTCCAGGCGCCGCATACTGCTGCTGCTGCTGTTGTCTCGAACCCTGCTTCCCACCCTGCTGACCCCCCTGCGTCCCATACTGTTGCAAAATACCCAGAATCTCCTGCTTGGGTAAATCAAACCCGAGTGCTTTCATCGCCACCTTGAGCTCGTGATAATCGATGTAGCCGTCCTTGTCGAGGTCGAAGAGGTTGAAGGCTTCGCCGATTTCTTCTCGTTGTTCTTCTGTGAGTTCCGCGAGGGAAGCGGCGCCAGAGGCTTCCATGCGTTGGGCGGTTTCGCGCGCGGCGCGCTCGCGTTCTAGGCGCTCGGATTCGAGGCGTTGGGCGTTTTTGGGGTTGGGCGGGAAGGCCGGTGTGCTGCTGAAGGTGGGTTGCGGTTGCGTGGGTTGTTGGGGTGGTGCGGTGCGGTTTAGACCGTAGCGCGGGCCGGGGCCGAGGGGGTTGGAGGATGTCGCCATGGGGAGGTTTGTGGTGGTTGTGGTTGAGGACGTGTGTTGTGGGATTGGTGGGGTGCGCGATGTTGTGGTGGACTTGCGCGCGCGGTCTGTTAGGCGAGATATAGGCCCAAGGAAAATTGCGAGGGTTCACGAAGGTTGCAAAGGTATCCCGTTGAGTTGCGACAATTCTTCTCGCTATTTGGAGATTCTCGATGTGGACGAAGATGCGCAGTTGTTTGGGACGCGAGGCGCGTCGGGCGTGCGAGCTTAGCTGCAGCTTTAGCGCGATTTGGCCTGGCAGTGGGGAATTGAGTTCCAAGGTCCTGTAGGGCTGACAGAGGCCCCGGCATTCAAACACGATGTATATTCTGGTACAATATTAGATTTAGTACCTGTTCATTGATTCTCCATCCCAAAGCAATCCCAGTATCTTCCTCCGTTTGATCTGTTTCCATCACGGAGGACCCCCCGATTACTACCACGAATCTCCATGCAGCTGATCGAACCACCGAGGCAGTTAGAGCGCAAGCAATATGCATTGCATGTAAGCTACCCACATTCGACTGCCTATCGGACCTTCAATCTTCACATGATCTGAAAGACGCCTGCCTTATCGACCAACCCTGCACTTGGAATGACGCAGTAGAGCGGCTGAGAGGAGGGCGTGAAGTAAGGGAGCGTAACGTCTCACCAGGCGCAAAAACAAGTCCTTTGTCTGGCACAACTTCGTCCCAGCCAGAATCACAGTCATGCATCTCTGGCTAGACCGGTCTCTTCCTTGCGATGTGAGTCCGGTTGCGCGAGGATTTGTTGCCAAGGCTGTCTTCAGTCACCAGGCAGCCGTAGGTAGCAACAGGTATCCATCAGGCATCTTTTCGCACAAGTCGCGCCCAGAAAGCGTGTCGTATTATTCGTCAATCGCTGTCTCGCTTTGTCATGCGTGCAGCGGCTGCAATCGTATCGAAGAGTCTTTTGCTGGCAATCGTGTTTAGGAGAGGCACACGTGACGCCCGGTGACGGGTTAGCGCAATTTTGACGTGCCTTCCTCCTAAGTGCAACCTCACCTTTGCTTGTCCCTCCAAACTCTCGCGCCCGTCGCTCTTTCCCTTCCATGACGGCCATTTCACTACTTAATCAGTGCCGCGCCTGATCTTCTTACTAATTCCACTCTTTACTCTTTTGCTCCTCGCAGCAAACCCCCACCGCGCCTTGTTCTCGTCCGCCCATTCCTTGGCGCGTTTTCCGCGAAGCTCTCATCAACACCTGCCTCTCCTAGAGCTGCAGCACCGCGATTCTATCAACCACCCCACAACCTCACGACTCTACAGCGCATTGCTAGCCGACTAGACACCAGCACAAGCGCAACCCGTCGGACACGCTCAAAATGTCCTTCGGCGGTGGTTTCGGGGGCTTTGGCTCCAACAACAACAACCAGTCCACTGGCTTCGGTGGATTTGGCTCATCCAACAACAACACATCGACTGGTATGTACAAACTCTTGCTTGAATTCTTGGATCCCTTTACGCGCGACCGCTTCGATGCGCCCTGCGACATCGCCACGGCCTCCTCGACGAACCGTGTCTAACTTGCCCTCCGCCTCAGGCTTCGGCTCAAACGCGAACACCGGGACGAGCATATTCGGCGGCGGCGCAAACAACACAGGCAGCACAATGTTCGGTGGCGGCAACAACGCCAGCTCGAGCTCGCCTTTCGGCGGCTCAGGTACGTGGACCGGTTGCGCTTCACTATCGCGTCGCTATTTGGATCACTCCGCGTTTTGCGAGGTCGCTATTTGAAGTGCTACAGGGTCGCCAACAACGCTACGTGTTCCGGTGCTCCATCGCGATAGCCTCGACCTTCACGCGGATCCATTTTTCACGACCCGGACCAAAGACTAACTTTCCCTACAGGAGGCTTCGGCGCTAACACGGCACCCAAAACCACTTTCGGTTCGCAACCCTTCGGCAGCTCGACAACAGGTGGCGGTCTCTTTGGCGGTGGAGGTGCTTCAGGTGGCAGCGCGTTCGGCGGCGGCGGCGGCGGCTTCGGAGCGTCGAACAACACCACCTCAGCTTTCGGCGCCAGCAACACCAACACTGGAGGTGGTCTTTTTGGCCAGGCCAAGCCGGCGACGGGCTTCGGCGCTTCAACAACAACTAGCGGAGGTCTATTCGGAGGCGGCAACACCAGCAGCGGCTTCGGATCTACCAACGCGAACACCACAACAGGTGGTTTTGGTTCCAGCACTACTGGCGGTTTTGGTGCAGGCAACGCCCCACCTCCAAATAACGGTACCGCCAGTACTCCGTTCCAGGCATTCCAGGAGAAGGATGGCACAGGCAACGCGCAGTCGCAGTACCAGACCATCACCTTCCAGCAACCGTACACCAACTACTCCCTCGAGGAGCTGCGAGTAGCCGACTACAACCAGGGCAGGCGGTATGGCAACCAAAATGGCCAAGCTGGAGCGTTCGGACAGAGCACTGGTTTCGGCGGATTTGGTAGCAACAACAACACCACCGCTTCTACCGGCGGCTTCGGTGCAGCGGCCAACACTGGCGGCAGCTTGTTCGGCGGCGGCAACACCAACACCGGTACCACATCAGCATTCGGTCAGAGCACCGGTTCTGCCTTCGGAGCAAACAACAACACTGCAAGCGGCGGTCTTTTCGGTCAGAACAAGCCTGCCACTGGTGGGCTATTCGGCTCGAACAACAACACCACAACTGGAACCACTGGTGGCCTCTTCGGAGGTGGCGCTCCTGCGACAAACAACACTACAGGTGGGTTTGGTTCTGGAGGCGGCGGTTTCGGTGCATCCACAAACACTGGTGGTGGTCTGTTTGGTCAGAACAAGCCTGCGACTGGTGGCGGTCTATTCGGAGGCGGTGCCGCAACCAACACCACCTCAACACCTTTCGGAGGTGGAGCCACGAACACTGGTGGCGCGTTTGGTCAATCTAACACCACTGGCGGTGGTCTCTTTGGCCAATCCAACAACCAGGCCTCTTCTACCCCCGCGTTCGGAGCCAACAACACCGCCACAAACACCGGCGGCGGTCTCTTCGGCAACAGCACGGGTGGAGGCTTTGGACAGAACAACCAGGCTCCTGCCCAGAACAACACCTCCGGAGGTCTCTTCGGCGGTGGCGGTGGTGGCTTCGGTCAGAACAACAACAACCAGCAAAAACCCGGTGGCCTCTTCGGCGGTGCAAGCACTGGCAACACGGGCGGCGGCGGCCTCTTTGGTCAAGCCAACCAGAGCCAGCCAGCTTCTGGCGGCTTGTTCGGCGGTTCTACTGCTAACAACAACACCAACAACACTGGAGGTGGTTTGTTCGGGCAGAAGCCTGCCACTGGCGGCAGTTCTCTATTCGGCGGCAACAATGCTAACACTGGATCATCTGGTGGAGGCTTGTTCGGCGGTCTTGGCAACAATAACACTCAGCAGAACACAGGAGGTGGTCTCTTTGGTGGTGGTCAGAACAACAACCAACAAAAGCCTGGCGGGTTATTTGGCGGCTCTACATCGAACCAAAACACTGGAGGGGGTCTCTTTGGCGGCGGAATGGGTCAGCAGAACAACCAACAACAGGGTCTTGGTGGCTCACTCTTCTCGAACCAAACTCAGCAACAGGAGCAGCCGAGCCTCAGCAACAGCTTGTTCGGGGCTTCGGGAAGCTCTCTTTTGAACACGTCGATGAACACCAACCCCTACGGCAACGACGCCCTCTTCGCTGGCCTTGCTACCCCAACACAGAGCCCTGGCCCAATCGCCACCCCCTTATCGAGCAGTCAGAAGAACAAGAAGAACGCCATACTCCCTCAGCACAAGCTCAACCCGGCTGCTTCGACACGTCTTCTTACACCGCAAAACAAGAGGGGCGGTTATGGATTCTCATACTCCACGTACGGCACTCCAGTTGGTGGTGCGAGCCAGAACGGTGGCCAACTCGGCGGCAGCCTGTTTGCGAGCGGCAGTTTGTCTCGATCCCTGGGTAAGAGCCTTTCCACGAGCAACCTCCGAAACAGCTTCACACCCGAGACGAATAGCATACTAGCACCAGGTGCCTTCTCCAACACGGGACGCAACTTCGGCAACGGCAGTCTCAAGCGACTCAACATCAACCGTTCAATCGCCAACCGGGCCCCACTGTTTGATGAGCCTTCACAGAAGCGGGTCAGCTTTGCTGGTGGTGAGAGCCCGAATGGTGGTGCTAACGGAGAGACTGCGCTGGTCGTCAGGCAAGATGAGGAAGATGCTTCTCCCCGGTCCAACAAGGACACCAACGGCGAACCTTCTCGCCCAGCAATGCAGCAAGTTAATGGAACGGAACTCGCCCGCGTTTCAGAGGAGCACGTACTTACCCCCAAGTCCTCTGCATCTATCAACGTTCAACCAGGCCAGGACCCCAAGCCAGGCGAGTACTGGTCAAGCCCCTCGCTGGATCAGCTGAGGAGGATGAGCAAGCAGGACCTCAAGAGCGTACCCGACTTCATTGTCGGTCGTCACAACATTGGTCAGATCAAGTTCAACCACGGCAAGCCTGTCGATCTGTCTGAAGTCGATCTTGACAGACTGTTCGGTGACATTGTTCAGCTCAATGCTCGTAACGCTACCGTGTACGGAGAGAGCTGCACCTGCCTGCCAAAGCCACCGCTAGGTAGCGCCCTGAACCAGCCTTCTGAGATCGTCCTTGGTAACTCCTGGCCTCGTAACAGGGCTGGCAAGAAGGATGTCAAGCATCTTGAGCGTCTCAAGCGAGTGGCTGGCACTACTTTCATCAAGTACAACCAGTCCACTGGCGAATGGACCTTCTCTGTTCCCCACTTTTCGTCTTACGGTCTAGACTACGACGACTACAGTGAAGACGAAGGCGAGGACGAAGATGCGTCAAGCGATCTCAGCGACGTCCCTGACACTCCCGCTGAGCAGCAGCACCGCTCGAGCCAGATGACCAGTACGCCCCAAGACGACTCCTTCATGAGCCCACAGTCGCAGTCTAGCCCTGACGACACATTTGACTTCAAGAAGGGAATGCGCAGCAGCCGTACTAGCGTACCTGGTGGCTTCGGCGATGAGACGGCGTATGTGGATGACGAAGATATGGAGGACACCCATGGCGAGTCTTTTTTAGGGCAGCGCTCCGTGGGTTCGCTTGATGGGCAGCACGATGCTGACTACTCTGAAGAGAGCGAATCGGAATTGGCACGCGACCAGAGCATGGCGGACTCTGTGTCAGGACCAGTTCGAACCACGGAGCAAGACACCGCTAAGGAAGACCCGTTCAAGAGCACTTTGAAGCCAAAGTCGATCTTGAAGCCCAGCCAGCTCATGAAGCCCGGAGCAGGCACACCTACAAAGGCGCAACCGGTATTCGATGACGATTGGGCAAACCAACTCCAGCGCACCATCAGCCCAAAGAAGCAGGATCGATTTGCTCTCCGCGAAAGCCAGGGCAACGTACTACGAGAACACGAAGCGCAGCCTACGAAACTATCGCAGTCTTTTGGTGCGCGACAGATGACTACTGCCATGGATTTAATGGATTCTCTCTTCGGTGAGACCGAGAAGCAACAGCTTCCCAAGCGTGGTGGACATGGTATTGAGGTTTGCACTCCCCTTCCTATTGGCGTTTGTATTCATGGGGCGTAATCTGTGGCGGGTTTCCTACGTGGTTCTCCTTCATAGATTGACGCTAGGACCTTACGTCCGCCCGTGTATGTAGTCACAAATTGATATGGGGCAAGATTGCTGAAACTCTTGTCTCTAGTTACCCTATTCCAAGCGACCCAAAACCGCCTCCGATCTCGACGAACTTGCCGATGCCGACAAAGAGTTCCACGGTTGCAGCAAACCCCACTTCAGCGAAACCAACGTCCTGATCTACGGCAACAAGGGTCCCTCCCACCTCGAAGGTGGTGTCTTCGCAACCGCTCAAGACCCACTCGTCGATGCTACAAAGGATATGCGCTTCGTCAAGATGCCTACCTTTACTGATGTAAGTTTGGGTCTATGAATATGTCTATGATGTTGTTACTGATCATTGCAGTGTGCCCCCGAAACTCTGTCGCTTCAGAAACAATACACGAAGATCTTCAGAAACGATGGTGTACCTTCAGCAAGGCTTGTGACTGATCCTGCCCCAGTCGAGTTCTCCAGCATGGCAAAGGCCGTCGCGCTCGACACGCCGGCTGGTGTTCATGAACAACAAGCCTGGCAGCTACTTTCGCTTCTGTTCGACGATGCCGACAATATTCCAGCCGACGTGCCAGAGGAGAACGTCAACACCTACCGGAAGGAGAAGTTGTCTGATTTCTGGAAGCTGCTCGTCTGGGAAGATGCGCAGAAGCATGCCCAGCAAGCTGCCTCGCCTGAAGAGCGCGCAATCGCCCACCTCAGTTGCAACAACGTTGCCGAAGCTTGCCATACATTGCTGGACGGGCTCGACCTCCGGTTAGCCACGATGGTCGCGCAGATTGGTGGTGATGAAACGATGCGCCAGAGCATGGTAGCTCAGATCGAAGAGTGGCGGCGTCTGGATATGCTTTCCGAGATGGAGGACGCCCACCGTGCCCTCTACGAACTCCTAGCCGGCAACTGCAGCAAGTCCGAGGGCAAAGCGGGATCTGGCAAAGAAAACCGTGCTTCTACCTTTAACGTCTCGAGCCGGTTTGCCCTTGACTGGCGACGCGCCTTTGGTCTTCGTCTGTGGTACGGTACAATGATTGACGAGCCCATCGAGATGGCTGTCGCGCAGTTTGCGGACGCCGTTAGAGACGGTAACGAAGACGTCAAACCAGTTCCCTGGTTCATTCAAGAGAACGCCGACATGGGCTGGGAAGATCCGGATGCTGAGCACCGAGAGGATCTGCTCTGGGGCATCCTCAAGCTCTATGCGGCAGAGAAGATGAGTCTTCCTGCGAATGTCGAGGACGTTCTCGCTCCCGAAAACGTGTCCGGCAACCCCTTCAACGCCCGTCTTTCATTCCAGCTCTTCCAGCTCTTCAAATCTAGGCAAGAAGATGATGCTGAGGCTGATGAGCGCAAGGTCGCTATGCCTACCGCTCGCGGTCAAGATGAGGAAGATGACGATTTCCGCCGGTCACTGCAGTCATGGTCCGCACCTGGCGCTGCAGAAGATGTGCAGGCAGCGAATCCACTTGTCGAGTTGGGTGATAAGATCACTCTCACATACGCGGCTTCGCTACATACACCAGAGCATTGGACCACTGCGATCTGGGTATACACACATCTGTCTTCACCAGCGACGCGGGAGCACTACATCCGCTCGCTCGTCAACCAGTTCTCAAGCTCCTATACCTTGGAGGAAGGCGATGCCACTTACAAGTACCTCACAATCGATCTCCAGGTACCTGCAACATGGCTTCACGCTGCCGCAGCACTACAAGCGAAGTCAGGCGGCGATGCCTTACGCGAGGCGACTCATCTCATCAAGGCCGACGAGCTTGAAGAGGCACATGAAGTGCTCTGTCGAAAGGTCGGCCCTGAAGCTATCGTCTCTCGCGACTACGATGCCCTTCGTGAGCTCATGGGCGGCTTTGTGTCCACATCGCCACCTGATCGCCCTAAGGAAGCGCTACAAGGCTGGGCCCAAGGTGGTCAGATCTACTTCGACTACATTGAGTTGATCGACCTGACTGGTCAACGCTCAAACTACCGCGTCGACGAGGAGCTAGACAACCGTGTCAAAGAGCTGCTCACCAAGCTACAGCGCGCTCTGGAGATTGCCGGACGCGACAGGCTGGGTACATGCGGTCTGGAGGAGCGTGTGGCGCTCATGGAGATTGCTGGTACCGTTGCCAACCTCATTTCAAAGACTCAGGTAAGTCAAGTCCTTCTTTCTGGCAATGGGGGAGTCGTACTAACAATCACACAGCAATCAAACCGCAACGCCATTCTAAAGCTTCCTCTCACCGAGGACCTATGGCTCAAGCACTCGATCGATCTCAGCACGAACTACTACCGCAACGTCATGGTCACTACTCGGTAGGACCGATATCTACGAAAACTCCGATCAGGAAACTTGCGTGATCTGCTCGAGCATGAATGGTTGACTGGTATAATTAACCCAAAGCTCATGGCGTATTGAGGTTTGGGTTATAACTGAATCGACTTTTCGCGAATGAAGCATGCATGTTGGGGTATTGATTAGAATGGGGAGGAAAAGCGTCTTCACTTCGATCATATGTATAATAGGTTTTTGAGTGTGGAAAATGAGTTTAATGCATTGGTTATGTTATTTCATGGTGTGTTTGTTTTGGTGCTGATACTGAGCTTTGTGGTACCTTTCAAAGTGCACCAATCGAACACATGGATTTGGAGCTTGAGCTTTTGTTGTGGAGATGCGCAACTCGAGTTCTCAGACATGAAAATTGCCTCCATAGTTTTCGAAATAAGAGTGTTGAAGTGAAGATTGGTAGTGATGGACGAAACATGGAGGCGGCAGAATATAACGACTCGTATATCTCCACGCTTGAGGATCGTGAATCTGTCTGAGCTGGTGGTACTAATGCATGTGGTAAGCACATATGCAGACCGTTCTAGCTAGCTTGTCTGAGTATATATATCCCACCCACCACCCTCAAGCTTCCTTCCTCACTTCCCATCATTCCTACTGCAAATTTCAAAAATGCGGATCGCAAACCCGATGTTGCGCTCTCTACCGACTTTCTAAATCCGGCGTCAAAGAATTCATGTGAAGCAAGGCTTGACCTCGTCATTGTATTCAAAAGCGCAAGAAGTACGGTTCATGGGAACGGAACTGCGCCCCCGAAACTCAAATATTACCTGTGTATGCTGATGAGAGACGTGCGCTATTGAGCCACAGCGTATATCGCAACCCGAACACATCATTTCACATCTTCTGGAGACAAGGTAGAACTTCGCTTCGTGTGATCCTTACGAATGAGCTGAGCGTGATGCAATTTGAGTGTTTGATGCGTTCCAAAAACCAACGACCAAGAATTCATGTAAACCTGGTTCTGTACCACGACACCAGAACGCTGATCAGACGAAGGCGATGTTAAGGGTATAAAAGTGCCCCCTCATGCAGTTCTACTTCCAGCATCCTACTTCCCCAATATACTATCTTCTTTTCCAAAAACAAGATGTCTTCTCTGAATGGAGAGACCTCTGCTTTTCCTGTACACCAAAAACTTGAAGACAAAACCGCCATGGCTCTGTGGAGTCCTCCTCCTGAAATACCTTCAACGACCTTCGAAAGGTTACTCTAACTGATTGATGGTCTGAGCAAGTCTTGTCAGGATATTTTGCCTATCTGCCTCCTTCTTTCCACTATTACAAAAACAACAACGAAACTACTCCGCGACCAATTGTATGAGACTCGTCTGTCTCCCTTCTCTCAAAATCGACTTTTGGCATAGTGCATGGTAGCGGATAATGGCTTCTCGCTCAACAAAAACTTCTCTACCAACATCTATGGTCTGCCGTCGGGGCTCTTCCTGAAATTGTTTGGATATCAGTGCATGAGAAGAGATATTCTCTCCTCTTCCAGAAAACCGGATCATGACAGAACTATGTCTGCGCTGCTCTGGGAACTTTGCTCTTAGTCTAGTTGCCTATATAAGCATCTTCGACATCGCTACCTTCTTTATTTACTAACTACATTCACGAAAATCTTCTCTTCAAAACGGTCGAGGTCACGGACATGGTGTCTGCCTTCCTGTGCTTCCAAAAAAATCGATGACGACGACGCATGAGAAAGACTTCCGCCTTGTTCACACTTTTCAAAAAGATCAGCAACGAAGATGACATGGCCTTCTCGGCCGATTGCAGCTTAAAAGCCTCAGCTACCTTATTCATGTCTGGAAGTTGTCTAAAATTCAGACGATAACCAGTTATGTCGGCGTGAGGGTTCACCGAGAATGATCATGGTATGGACTCGAAAAAGCGATGAATGAGCCACTATGAGAAGCAAGCAGCCGCCCAAGACCGCAGATATCACGTCACTGAGGGATCTCAAAGTCTGTCCTCATCATCCCTATGTGATGAGCTCTTTTAAAAATCTAAAACGGTTGTGAATGGTATGATGTAAATATACAGATTTATCAAGATGCTAGATGTTATATACAATGAGAGCCCCCGGACTCACGTCCGCGAAACAGAAGCCTGTGCTTGCGTTGCAGATGGAGCGGTGCTATCTCTCGGTGGCCCCTGTGAACGCCCACCCCTTGCGCCACCTCGACCACCGCGACCGATTTTACCACGACCGCCTCTAGCCGCATTATCGCGACCAGGTGCGCGACCACCAGCATCCTGTTTCGGGCCCGCCTTTGGTGGCGCATTCTCCTTTTCAGCTGGCCCAGCACTACCGTCACCCTTCCCTTTCCCCCGATCAGCATCCTCGACACCGTCCTTCTTGTCCTTATCCTGACTCTTCGCCTTGCCACCTCGACCACCACGACCTTTACCTCGTCCACGGCCAGCACCCTTTGAGAGTTTATCGACGAGCTTCTTCGTTTGTTCCTCTTCTTCAATAACACGTCTGCTTTCTTGATCCCACCATTGTTGAAACTCTTGTTCTTGTTGGATCTCTTGAAGACTGCGCTTGGCTGCTGCGTCGCGGATTGATGTCTTTTCTGCTTCTTGCAGGGAAAGGATTTCCATCATGCTGAGGTGTTGGCTGGGTGAGGTTGAGGAGTGTTGTGGTAGGGGGATATGGCGGACTGATCGGGGGGTTGGGATGGGGTCGGTGGAGACGGACATGCCTCTTTCAGAAGCAGCGGGCCGGGGTTGCGAGGGTGACCCAGCGCCGTTTGCGTCCTGGCTCTGCGAAGCGGCTCGCTTGTCCTTTTGCTTTGATACAGCGCCTTTCTTTGCAACAGTCTGTCGCATGGTGAGCTGAGGGGTGCTTGATGCGCGCGAAGGCTGAGGCGACGGCTTCGATGGCGGCGACGGCACCACCACTGGGGTCACGACAGGACTGTTGCTTGGTTTACGATGCGCGGCTGCTGTCCAAGGAGATACAGCTGGTGGAACAGGCTCTGGCTTTGCAATAGGTGTGCCGAGTTGCTGGGCTTGAAGTAAACGCTTGCGCTCCTTCTGACTTAACTTGGCACTGGCAGCCTTCGCAACTCGCTCGCTTTCGCCTCGTGAAAGACCTAGCGACAAGTTCGATGGTGTAGCCGAAGAGTCTTGAGCCATGATGTCCTTGAGATCTAGCTTAGGACCTGCAAGCGGTGTAGTACCCCATGGCTGGCCAGGTAGTCTGGTCTCCTTGACAGCTGGCGGAGGAAGAGGACTGACAGACTTCAGTGGTATGTCTCCTCCTTTATCAAACGTATGTGGTGATGGTCGTGAAATCGTGCCCCAGGGTGTCTCAGGAGATCCGACTGGCGTCTCCACCGCCTTCTCCTCCCCAATCTGCTCTGTGAACCGCGGAGGCTTGATCTTCCTCGGCACATCTTCATCGCCCTCCCCATCTGACATCTCAAACATAAGGTCCTGAGTGGAAGCTTGACCCTTCAGTGCTGGCGAAAGCACTGGACTCTTAGCTTCTTTCGATACTCTTCTTCGGTTGCGCTGGCGAAGCGGGGAAGCTGCCACTTCTTCCAGACTCTGAGCTCTGAAGGAGGACGAGAGATTGTCACCATCCGCATACTTATTCGACAATACTATCGCATCGACCTTGGCGCGCTTGCCTCGCTCTATCCTTTCGGCAAGCTCGGGATAACGGTCAAAGAGAAGAGCCTCAGCTCGTCCACTTCTTGCAAAGGGTAGGTAAGCGAGCTGGTTTTCATGGGCAACCTGGTTAAGCTCCAACAGCAAGTCCTCGTCCAATTCGTCGAGTGAGCCATTCTGCATGACTGCTTCCAAACTCAAGCACACATACTCAAGGGCTGCGTCCTTGAACTCGGCAACTGAGCTTGGTGCAACTGCTGACAAGAGAGAGCAGACGTTTCGAGCATTGACTGGCATCCAATTAGTGAGTGTACAAGAAGACCAAACGTAAATACATACCATAGCGACCTATCAGTCTTTGACAAATCTGTGACAGACGGTCCAACATCAATTCATTGGCCACAGACATAACGTCCATCACATGATCGAGCAGCTCGTCGAGCGCTAACAAGTCATTCAGATCCTCACTCGTGACGTCCTCAAAAATCTCCTCGCCAGCGTCGGTGTAGAGGTGGCGAACGATGAGCTCGAAGAGACGCGTCTCAACATGCGTCAAATCGATGTGGATGAGTGAAGACTCTTCCGTCCGCCTTCCCGCGAGCCACTGACCACCAGCACGTCCTCTGAACAAGCCTTCGAAGAAAGGACAACGTTGGCAAATTACATCGGAATGCAGTAGCATCTCGCCATCGGCAAGGTCAACGATGACGTCACCGCTCTCGAAGAAGGACTGCTCCTTGATAGCGAGCTCCATATCCATATGCAACGATTTCCGTGGTTTAACCATTTGACGGACAGCAGGCTCGAGCTGTCGCATTTCGAGACGAGAAGCGACCTTCATCAGTTCTGTTCGTACCGAGCGATACCTGTGCGCCAAGGAAGGATAGTGCCGAGTAACGTTCCAGAAGTCTATCACGGAGTCGGTGTAAGCGTAGAGGACCAGATTGAATATGGTGAGGAAATCGAGACCCTGGAAGAGTACCAGGACTCTGCCGCCCTCTGCGCGGACAGTAAGTAGATCAGACACCACGTATTCGGCGCCCCTGACACGAAAGTCGAGCAGAGCATCCCGCAGTATACGGCTGCGCCCAGTCAGGATGAACTCGTGAACAGGTATCCGGACATCGGACAAGGTCGATCCGACTTCCATATTGTATGTCTGATCTTGTGTCATTGACGAACCTCGCAGAATGTCAGTCATCTCCGCTTCCAGGTCCTTTGACTTCAAGACACGCTTGCGGAGACCTTGGGCTTCTGAAGCTCGAGTCCAGAATCTTGGTGTCGGTTCTTCATCATCTGACGTCTCCTCATAGTTTGTCAAGTCGTGGAAAGAGAGCAAAGGTGCAAGGTCGTCCCAAAGCCCAGCCTCATCCACACCTATCTGGTTTCTGGTAACGTCGCAATCCTTGCGAATCGCGGCATACGCACCAAATGCGGAGGCACGAACAGCAATAACCCGGGTCAAGCCCGAGACACGCTGAAACTTGTAGTCTTTTGGCTTGGATTCAACAGCAGCAGTGATGCTTGCGTTCTTGATCGTCGCGCGTTTCGTACGTCTCCAGACGCTACCGACTTCGGTAGTCAGGATGATGGAACCGTCCTGATCGACATCGACATCTCTTGCTGCCATGTGGCTCTTCTTCGACGACCAGATGCGGAACGGTGCAGAAAGTGCTCCTCTGATTTGTTTCGGATTGGTGGTCGATGTGCCAGCGTCCTGGGCACCCTCTGAACGTCGACTAACCGCGACCGTGAAGACCTCACCAGAAGTCGATAGCGCACAGATGGTGTCACCACCTGATGTGATCTTGCTGATTCTGTTCGGTGCGGTATCATACTTCGTAGTCAACCAGCTCTCCTTGAGGAAGTTACTGGTGAACCCGTCTAAGGGAAAGCTGAGTTTCGCATAACCGTAATTGGCAAACACCCAGACTTCGCGACTCTCCAACAAACACACTGTAGCCCCGTCGATAGCCGAAACTGAGTGGATTGGGCTGGAGAACAGTGCTGCCGCAATTTTTCTGGGAACGACCTGCATTTCAAGCGACCGTGCGTCCGAATCGACAATACCGAGTTGGCCCTCATTCTTGCCAAAGGTGTACAGCGAGGTCGCAGTGTGAACGACTGAGTGTATTCGGGATGCGGAGATGCCGGTAACAACATCTCGCTTCAGAGGTCCAAAGATCTGGCGGGGAATAGTCGATATCGGGTCGTCGTCTTTTACAGCGGGCTTCGGCAGCGCGTACCCCAATTGTCCGTACGCATTGTTACCCCAGGAGTAAATCTCACCTTCTTCGGTAATGGCCAAAGTGTGGTTCTGCCCCAACGCGACAGCAGCCACCTTCTTCTGACCTAGTCCGCCGCTTTCGATGCAGGTAAATTGATATCTCGTCGTTTCATTACCCGTGCCTAAGCGACCACCTGGACCGTGGCCACACATGTACAGATTGGAAACTGGGTCAGTGGTCAAGACGGCGGTGTGCAGTTTCGACATTCGTACGTCTTGGATGACTATTGGAGTATTCCGGATGTGAGTAGGAAGATCTACAGTACTGCGCGCTTGGAGAAGCCCTGAATCCTGCATTGGAGCGCCTGTCGCAGCCCAATACTGATTTTGGCGCTCGCGATGCTCTCTATAAAAACGCTGAAGGAGGTGATCTGGGCGGCGCAGAGTGATGCGTTCCGGATACTGACGATCATCCTCATCACCAAAACCAAGCGTGACGTTCTTGTTGCTGCCAAAGGTATACACTTCATCTCCCTCGAGAAGTACGGGCGGTGCGATCAACTTCTTGCGCATCTCGTCATCCACATCGCCACTGTCGCCGTGAGCCATCTCATCGTCTGAGTCAGAATCGAAAGCAGGCGCTTCTTCGGGTCGCAAAGTCCGGTCCTTGATGGTCATGGAGAATAGATCCAAAGGACCGTATCCTTCCTTGTCTTTGATCTTGACCAAACCCCGCGCGTGCTGATTGAACCCGCTGGATCCTTGGCCGAGGATGTCCTGCGCATCGCGGTTCAGAATGAGACGCGCGATGGCGATGTTGCCAAAGTAAAAGGCCCTGTGAAGCGCAGTCCAGCCATTCTCCGCATCTTGTATATACACGTCGGTCCAGGGATGTTCTAGCAGCGCTTGCGCGAACTCTACTGCGCTGTCCGCGGTGGACGAGGCTGAATGGTGCAGGATAGTCATTCCTGCAGCGTCGCGACTGTTGATGTCGAATCGACTCAGGTTCACAGCCGCGCCCATGCCCATCTTGCGGCCCTTGGCACTCGTTATTGGCGATGCATTGTAGCTACCCGGACTCCCGTTCACTGCAGTGGCAAACCCTCCGCCCTGCCAGCCAGTGAAGCTTTTCTGTGTTGCGGATCGGTGCGTATGCGTGGGGGTTGCGAGGACATGTCGAAAGTTGTCGACATCATCTTCGAGGTAGTATTTCCAGAGATAGCCGCTCATGTGCCGGTAGGAGGAAGGAGCGATCCGAAGCTTTTACGAGTAGCACCTGGCCTCAACCTCAGGGGGTCAAAGCGTGTTTAAAGGCGCTGGCTGTAAAGCTGAGGACGACTCCGTGTAGGGGGACCGAACGCGACTGGTCGGCGGGGTGTGTGGCAGATGTAGTCGTTGGTGGAGGTGAGACGTGTACGTGTATCGGTATGCGGGTGGGAATGCGCGGGGGACGAGGAAGGGGCAAGGTGGCAAGTCGTCCGAAAGCGATTGCTGGTGGTTAGATTGAGCCTGCAAGAGGTGCGACGTGGCGAAAGTCGAAGATGGATTGCGACAAGCTTGCTGGGCAATGTGTGCGTTTGTGATGGTTGTGGAAGGCGCAAGTGGCGGGGCGCGAAATGGGAGTGGGTTGAGGTGCTAGGTATCTATGACGAAACTACCGAGGCGATAGATTGTAAGGGAGTCGCTGAGTCGCGAGAGTGAGATGAGTCAGAATGAGACTGCTATACTTCCTCAAGCTTCCGGCAGGCGCGATGGAGGGGTCAGTTATATGCGCCAGTCGCGAATACCTATTCGGAGGTGCACTGCGGGCGCGTTGTGGGATGGCCATCTCGAAGCCATGGGGTTCCAGCCAATGGCGTGCGCCCTCCTCTCCACAAGCTGTGCTCGGAGGTCGACATTGCTTGCAACGTAAGCTCCTAGAGTGACTACAGTGGTTTGTGACTATGGCATCCAAGTCATGAGATGTCCGACCTCGGCTATGACATGTCGATGAGGACGCAGAGCTGTGGAGGGGTTCAGTGTTGCGCGATGAAGGCGCGAGTATGACTATACTATATACCATGCACGGCTACTCCACACCGACTGGCGGTCAACCTGCCCTATATGACAGACTTCAAATCGGCGCTTGTAGTCACTGGAAGGGTCTCTTAGACTTTGGATGCGCTTCGAGGGCGAGACTTGATTGTAAAAGAAACGTGAACCGCTGCAGGGCGGGAGCTAGCCTCTGGAAGCTACTTGGACCTAGCGATGAGTTCACGACAAGGGAGCTACGAAGAAGGTCCGAAGACACGGCGTCAATCACATCATCGAGCATGAGGTGATAGCACGTCTTGATAGCCACGCGTTCATGGGTGCCTTCGAAGGACACGCCAAGGCCAGGCCGTGGATATCAAAAGCAAGTGATGATGCTTTGCAGTGCATATGCAGCTGAACAGCCACAGGAGGTGCTCTTGCATGCATCGACACGTCTGTTCGACATGGGTTGTAGGCAGCGAAGATACGAGTCTGCGCAGATGGACGTTCTGCGCAGACATTGACATGCAAGCTAAACCTTGTGTGCGATAGATGGAGTGCCTGTTCCTGGCTCGCCGGCCATGACATGATGAAATCGGCACAGCGCGTCTCACCGGCAACGCGGTAGCACAGACGATAAAGCAGATCTTGTATGACCGGTCAGAGGCCAGAGGCTGTGAAAAGGCAAGGGAGGCGTCGAACGGTGGTGCATAGCCGGGCTCGCTAACCAATGAGGCAATCTGTGCCAGGATAGCGATCCACGTCGACTGGAGGGCGAGGGTGAATGCGCATGCGCAGGCCACGATGGTGGTGGTGGATGATGGCGTGGCCGCGGTCTCGATGTCGGAGGAGTGGTCCCAGCTCCCTGAGCCCGCCGAAGCTTCCACAACGAGTCACGCCAGTCACGGCTTGGACACTGCACACCTCCATCTTCCCCGGATTTGGCCCAAGTCAGATAGATTCCCTCATTGAGCACCTGCTGCTAGCTCCCTGCAGCTCCCGATAGCTTTATCTTGCCCGCCCGACTACTGCGCGGCTGCTGCGTCGTTTATCTCGTGCGCGAGCTTAGCTATCTTCCGCCCTCGTCATTCCACCACGGCCGCGTGACTGACTCCCGGCGCATGCGTCCCAACCCTCTCTGACTCTTCATACGCCATCCGCCATCCGCCTGCCCTGCCTGATTGCCTGTCTCTGTCCAGGACTCCGCCGTAGCAGTTGTCGTCCCAACAGCTGCAGCCGCCCTCACTGCGCCCTTCTCCCTTCCAGCCGGGTGCTCAGCTTAACTCCGCTCATTGCCCCAGGCACGCATTCAACACAGCGCCAACACCCTGCATATCATGGCTGCTGCCTGAGCCCTACCCGCCTGTTGAACCATCCCCGCGTGCCCAAGTCTTCTGAGAGACATATCTGACGGCTCCTACGCGAACCTGACCCTGGCTGCACTCGTGATGGCTACGCGCATTCACCCTCGCCTGTTTCCGCCGCAACCATAACCGTCCTACTTCACTCGCCCGAGTCCCTCGCTGCCAGTCACGACACGCTCTCTTCCCGCCCGTACCTGCAGGAGGCCGCCGCCATGCACCCATACTCGCGCCCCTCGCCGCGGACAGCCTCGCCTGCCAGCAACCTCCAGACCAACCCCACACGAACCAACAACCAGCGGCATAACAGCCAGGACATGACGGCATACTCTACCACGCCGCCCTACAGCGACCGCGGTGCTGAAGAGTCGGAGGGCGAGATGATGTCGAGGGGAGAGCCCGCCTCCGAGTCGAGGGGGCAATACCACAAGGTCAACCAAGTCATCCAGGTACTTATCTACTCCCATCTGTGGCTGGACGCATACTCACTCCCACCAGAACTTCTTCACCAAATCAGCCCTCGCCATCGTATCTTCTCGCGTAACACTGCCCCCAGCATACAACAAGGATGGCAAGATGAAGCACAACAAATGGGTATGTACTGCCTATCCCGCAACTCCACATTCCTCACTGACATGCCATAGTTCAATGTCGTCCTCCCCGATAGCGATGTGCTCCAGCGCCAACTCGCTGAATGGAAGCTCATGGATGCCGTGAACGGCCAGCATCCCTCACTATGCATCGACATCTACCTGGACATACAAGGCCTCGGCCACAACCAGTCGCTCGTCATACACGATGATGATGGAAAGAAGTGGGACGTCGCTGCGGCTCTCAGCTCTGCAGATGTGACTTCCCGATCGTCAGGCCGCACTGGCAAATCCACACAGGTTGTGCTCGAGCGTTGGAGGGTACACGTCGGAGATAAGAGCTTGGTGCAGCCTTCAGAGCTGAGCGAACCGCTTCCCAACGTGTACAAGAAGGCCGTCGTCACTTTCCGATCACTGTTCGCTTATCTGCGCTTCATGCCTGCGTTCAGATACAACAAGGTGCTCGCCAAGCAACCCGCAAACTCACCCTCACTGAAGCTCAACTACCGCGTTTCGAATGGGGATTTCAAGAGCCCCAATGTCGATACCCTGAATCTGCCGCTCTACCCAACCGACTCAAACGAAAGGATTACAGACATAAACGACATCGAGCCCACCAACTCGCCTGTAGGCCCTCTGAGTGTGACAGTCGAGTACCGCACCAACTGCGAGTTCAGCGTAGAAGACTCAGAGTCTCTTCTGAGTTCGCAGTTCCAGGGCCTGGACGACACTTATTTCGAGCAAAAGACACGCCAACTACCTGGATCGCTTCCTGTAAACAAGATGAATGCGCAAGAGAGCCCCGATGTTGGACAAGCATACGGCAGCCTTTCAACGTTCCACCAAGTTGGTCCGCCAACAGGAACAAGCCCCATCTCAGCTCTTCGCGCAGCACGGGATATGCCGTCATCATCACCCATGGAGTCACCACCACAGAAGCTGCCACCCAACCATCGCACCGCCCAAGGCTCCAAGTCATCTCTACGCTCCGTGGATACGCCGTCATACCAGCGACGAACCTCGGTCTCTTTCCAGCCCTTCAAGGCCGGCTCCCTCTCATCCTCGCCAGCCCTCGGTGTGCCTCCATCTCCCACAAGCTCAGTAGGAAGACCCGGCAGCTCCCTTGGTCGGACCGCTACCCCCAACCCACTCACACAACCGCGTAACCGAACGTCACTGACTGCCCTCCCTCAAACGGCGCTTCGGACACCTTCATTACCCAACGACAATGTCATCACTTCTTCTGCATCAAGCTCGCCAAAGCCTGCGCCCATCAGTCGCTACAGCAGTAGCTTCGGTCATAGGAGGAGCAAGTTTTCCACAGGGGGCGGCAGCAAAACAGAAGATGACAACCTCAGTAGTGGGAAGGGAAGCCTCTCCTCGTCAGCGCAACGCGGGTCTGACACCATGAATGAGGGCACAGGCGGCAGTTCAGGTGAAGTGAAGACGGACGATGAGAATATTTCCGACTTCCTCAAGCTTCTTGAGTCGAAGAAGGATCTCAAAAGCTTCACACGGAGCGACCAATCAGCCAAGGCAGCCACTATGCACAAGACCACAGCTCAGCTGTCCAAGTATCAGCGGATGCGTGAGTCTCATACAGGCCTTGCTGAATCAGTCTCTTCTTCAACCATGCTCCATCGCACACCATCATCCTCCAGCCGCCATCTATCTAGCGTCCCTGCGATGATAGGCGGCACATCATTCTCCACAGCGTCCTCACCTGGCAAGCCGATCTCACCCCATACTCCGCACACACCAGCCATCCCTTCACGTCTCAGCGCGAATAGCATCGCGGAATACGACCAACCTACACGCAGTCGAAGCCGCCCTGGTCGAAGGACACGGGAGCACGATGTAGTCAACGTCGAAGAGCAAAGCGAGAGCGAGGATCAAAACATGAACGCCATTGCCATTCCAACTTCACCACGGCCGTGGCACTACGCTCGCCGATCAAGTTCCGTTTCCCAGCAAAACCGCACACTGCCTGACGACGAGCCCGACGTGTTCGGCGTCCGATCGGCCAGTCTACCATCGGAGGAGGTTGATCGCGCTAACGATCTGCATCGTCTGACCAGCGCCGGTCTTACGTCTAGTGGACTATTCGCGCAAACGGAGCTACTAGCTAGCGGCAATCGCGATAGCCAGACTGCTGATAACGATTCTCGCGACGACTTGCCCCGGCCGTCGTCTACTTCCAACATGGCCAAACGCGGCACCCAGGCTGGTGCACGTGGTCGTGGCGGATTCTTCTCGCACAGTTCCTCTACCAGCCTCAGCACTGGCGGTACGAGCTCGACTGAGCGTCAGAGTCGCTACAACTTTAACAGCCGCGCTGCGACAAATGTCGACGACGACGAACCTCTGCTCTTCCAGATGAGCGAGATTGGTGCCGGCGGCTCCCGACGCAGTCTCGAGGAAGCACGAGGTGGCACCAGCACAGGCAGTGGCGGAAAGCGTGGATCGTACTTCCGCTGAGCATCTCACTTTCAAAACAAACACGTCAAGCTTTTTGCACTTCTCAATCCTTATTTATCTGCTTTTCGAACGGCGTTTCCGGGGGCATGGAGTCTGGGATATCTTTCTATCATCCCTTTAGCGTTTTACATACGTTGTTGCGCATTTCCAAATTTTCCTTCTTTTCTCACTTATCAGATTGAGTAGTACCATGGCGGAATGGATGGACCCGGCGTTCAACAAATGGGTGTTTGTTTCTTTTTTTTGCAAACGGCCGGGAAGGACATCTAACTCTCATGTAAGGAGTGGATCTTTATCTATGATTGTCATCAGTGTTTGATGCTCGGCGGGCGCGGAGTTTCTGGGATGGGATGGGTAGGCATGTGGATGGGTATGGGTATGGATACGGTTTATCAGGGTAGTGCAGACGTCTTGATTGGATCGTCTGCAGTATGAATGAATATGTTATCACTCCGCTCATTTTGTACTCGACTCTGAATTCCTGGGCGGCGCAGTGATAATGCGATCAAGCAGAGGTACTCTCTACTCCACCTTCTTCCCCTCCAACAAATCATCCAACCCCTTCAGTCCCCCCTCAAACCCATCAAGATCATACTCCTTGGGATACCTCACAAGCACATCCTTCAACTCCCGCACATGCTCCCTCTGCTCCGCCGTCAACTCCTCCCAAACCCCCTCAAACGCATTCCGGATACTAGGTTTTTTCTCCTTCTCCGCCTGTTCGAATGCACTTAACACCTCTTTCCTCGTCGCACTCCTCAACTCCTTTTCTTGGGCATCGTCCCAGAGTTCGCGTCCTTCAAGCCACTTTCTAAGTCGGGTAATGGGGTTATCGCGGCGCTTCCAGTCCTCGACTTCGACGCGTTGGCGGTACGCGAAGGAGTCGTCGGAGGTGCTGTGGTGGCCTACGCGATATGCCATCATTTCTATCAGGACGGGGCGCCCGCCGTCGTGCAGGGCCAGCCGCCGTGCTTCGGTTGTGGCGCGCCGGACGGCGAAGATGTCGTTGCCGTCTACGCGGAGGGTGGCGATGCCGTAGCCTGCGCCGCGGGAGGCGATGCCGTCGCCTCGGTACTGGTCTGAGGTTGGGGTGGAAATAGCGTATCCGTTGTTGCGGCAGATGAAGATGCAGGGAACTTGTCTGGTCGCAGCGATGTTGAGGGCAGCGTGGAAGTCTCCTTCGCTGGCTGCACCCTCGCCGAAATAACATACCGCGACGCGTGGCTCTGTCTCAGGGTTTTGCACATTCTGCATCTTGAGAGCGTAGGCGGCGCCTGCTGCGTGGGGGATTTGCGTTGCGAGGGTTGAACTGATGGTGTGGATGTTGAGTTCTTTGCTGCCGTAGTGGACGGGCATGTTGCGGCCTAGACCGTTGTCTTTTGCGTTGGCGAAGAGCTGGTTCATGAAGGAGGAGAGGGTGAAGCCGCGTTGGAGGTAGACGCCTGATTCGCGGTATTGGCAGAAGATTACGTCGGCGGGGGAGAGGGCGCTGGCGGAGCCGATGGCTATGCCTTCTTCGCCGGCGGAGACCTTGTTCTGTCAGTATGAAGTTGAGAGGTGTTGGGTGTTTGACGTACCATGTAGAATGATAGTCTTCCTTGCCTTTGCGCTTCAAACATCAATAGATCCATTATGCTCACTGTAGCCTGTCAATGGGATGTCCACACTCGGTACAAGTCTCACTGACGCTTAACCATGTTCTTGTATAACGACAGAGCTTCCTCATCTGTAGTCTCCACGCCAATCTCCTTGTCTATGATCTCTCCATACTGGTTCATGACACGGTACGTGGATATAGCCGGGGCCTGAGCTGGTTGCATAAACTCCATAGTATTCGTGAACTCGCTGTTCAGCGCACCAGGAAACAACACCCTGAGCACAATGTCAGTCTCCCATCCCGACGAAATCCATACACAAAAACTCACCTCTCAGCCGTAGGCGTCGAAGCAACACCCCTACATGACTGCAACGGCGTACCGACAACCTTCCTCGACCCATGAAGCCCTGCCTGGAGGCCCGAAAGCCTCTGTAACCGTAATATCCGCGAAGTATACCGGAACGACATAATTGGCAACTCTACATCCTCAAAACTAAAGCGCGGGCGGGGGGACAGCGGTATATCAATAAATTCTGGGGAAGCATGCGCCTGGGGTAGGCGGCAAGCGTCGGCGTAGTCGACGTCAACCGCGGTCAAACAATGGCGGGCGGGCGCTAGCAAACTTCCGGTTGGTACGGCTGGCTGGGCTAGAATGCGCGTGTCATGGCGCATGAATTCGAGAAAGTCGCCCGCCAAGCCTTGTCGAACAACAACCCACGACCAGCGCAAACATGCAGGCGAGCCGACAGAGAACAGGACGGCAATTGCTGGGCGGCAGGAAGAGCAGGGTGGCTAGGGAGCCGTACAGATGTTTCTCGTGCTCCATCCGACAAGCGCAGCAAGCGACGCCGCCACCAAAGTCGCCGCAGAATGGCGGCAGCGGCCAGCAAACGACGCATTTTGGGTTTGAGACGATATCTGAAGCGTTGAAGGAGCAGAGGGGTATGTCAATTCAATCATACCAATCCCCGCATGCCCAATACTGACGGTAAACCGCACAGTCGGCGCAGTATTCTCCTCCGTAGCCTCCTCCTACGACTCCATGAACGACTTCATGTCCCTCGGCATCCACCGCCTCTGGAAAGACCACTTCGTGCGAAACCTAAACCCAGGATTGAACCCCCTCACCTCCCCCACCACCCAACAAGGCATGTCCATCCTCGACATCGCCGGCGGCACCGGCGACATCGCTTTCCGCATGCTCGACCACGCTTCCACCATAAACCACGACCCCCACACCCGCGTCGTCGTCGCAGACATAAACCCCGATATGCTAGCTGAAGGCCGGAAGCGATCGCTACAAACACCGTATGCGCGGTCTCCACGATTGGATTTCGTGGAAGCGAATGCGGAGAAATTGGACATGATACCCGACGCATCCGTCGACCTCTACACCGTCGCCTTTGGCATCCGCAACTTCACACACAAAGAAATCGCGCTGAAAGAGGCTTTCCGTGTTTTGAAGCCCGGCGGCGTATTCGCGTGTCTCGAATTCAGCAAAGTCAACAACCCGGTGTTTGACGCCGTGTACCAGCGCTGGAGTTTCGGTGCTATACCCTTGATAGGACAGGTGGTTGCTGGGGACAGGGAGAGCTATCAGTATCTCGTGGAGAGTATAGCGAGGTTCCCGAGTCAGGAGGAGTTTAGCAGTATGATTAGGGAGGCGGGGTTTTTGGTGCCCGGGAAGGGGTGGGAGGATTTGACTATGGGGATTGCGGCTATTCATAAGGGGGTTAAGCCGAAGGCTTAGGAGGGTGAAGATTTGGTATGGGGTAGTGTAGTGTTATGTCTGTATGATTACACGAGTTGACAAGATAATCACTATGTCGAGGCTCTAATCATGTCAGTTTCGCTGATGTGCCATTATTCAAGCTCATCCATATTTTGACATTATCTGTTGTGACCATGACATCTTCGTCACGGTGTAAGAGAAGTAATTGGCCACGGCGTCAATCCCCCTTCGTAGCACCAACTCCGACATCCGCTTCCCCAATCCGTTCCATCACACCGCAACACCGTTCCACCAGACCATCAAGGTGCCTGAACACGCGAAGCGGTATACATCGGATAGCTGCCCTGTACGACGTGTCAAAAGCTGTGCAAGGTGATGCACAGGCACGTCACATTCATTCAGTGTCGCGTTGTACTGGAAATTAATTGGCATTAGACTGCTTTAATCTAATCCTTCGCCGAAGCGATTGACATATTGGTGACTACGTAGCATCGACCAGCCAGTCAGGATCAGCGTCTTCGTCTTCGGGGTCTTCCATCATGAGGGAGCCAGTTTCTGATGGGGATGAGGAGGGTGGAGAGGGCATTTCGGTGTCGGTATTGGGTTTGGGTTCGAGGTCATCGGATTGCTTTGGGGATGTAGCTTCTTCGGGTTTTTCCAACTGCGCGTCGTTGGTGAGTTCTGCTTCTGGTATGAAACCTCCGGCGGTTTCTGCAGTTTCGTCAAGCTGCGAAGGCCCGGCATTGGCGTCTTTGGTAGCAGTGGAGGGACCTGCTTCGTCTGAAGAGCCGTCCCGAACGAAGCCTCCGCCTTCTTCATCCTCAGAAGAGTAAATTTGACCATAGCTACTCCTACGCCGAGGGAGCAGCTGTTGCGAGTCCAGGATGGAGCTTTCAAAGCTTTGATGTCGGTTCAGACTGATAGGCGCTGGACGGTCGGTTTCTTCTGGGATAAAGCCGCCGCCTCCATCGCGTTCGTCTTCGTTGTCATCCTCGGGCAGGAACCCGCCATCTCCATAATTTTGCTCAGGTGGCTGATAGCCACCCGCCGAGGGTTTGGCAACATCTCCCTCATCAGGGAAGAAGCCTCCTGCCATTTCCTGTGCTGCCAGCTCTCTGTCCTCTTTACTAATCTCATCTTGAACATCAATGGCCGGGCCTTTCTCGCCATCAATCTCGATAGCGTTGACACGTTGTGCGATACGAAGGCCAAGGAAGAAACGTCTCCATAGGCGGAGAGACTCAACCCTTCGCGCTTCGGCTTCAGCTTCTTCTTGTTGGTGCTCCATTCCATCAATGACTGCCTGGACAGCCTCTGCGTACTCTTGTGCAACCACGACACCCTGAACGATCGCAGTACCATGGCGACCCTTGAAGGAAAAGCCAGTGACAGCATCGGCATAGTCTACCCCAACGATACGCGCTGCTTTCGATGCGAGCTTGTGTCGAATGTGCGTACCGCCGGGCGGACACATGGACGGGACGTAGAGATCCAGATTACCGTAAGCATTACGGGGCACGCGCCCTCGGACAACGGGAGGAGGGATGTAGAGCTCGGTCTGGAACTCTGCAAAGAGCCCCGCACCAACCTCGTCGACTTGCTCATCGACATCCATGTCTGCTCCAATCGAAGACCTTCTTCCTTTCTTGGGTTTGGCGCGCTTGAGTGGCTGCTCGCCGACTTTGACGTCCCGTCCCATACGATACCACTTGTCGGCTGTCCGGACTAGATGAACATTTGTACGACGGTAGATGGGTTCCATCTTTGGGTTCATGGCACTGCCGCAGTTGACTTTGCCGACCTGGTTCAAGGGATGTATCACTTCGTTATGTCTGAGGTGGCGCTCAAGAACGTAAACTGGGTGGCCTCTGAAGTCTTGCACGTTCTTTGGAATACCCTCGGCAGCTTCTTTGCGTGCCAAAGTAGCGTCTTCCATCTGGTCCCTGTCAAGAGTGGTCCCACGCTGGAAGAATTGCATCGCCCGTTTCCACCATCTATCGCCATCAGGGGTAATTTCGACACGGTATTTCCGCGTCTTGGCATTGTACGCTTTCGCGTATCTTCGGGTGACGTCTTTGGCAGTATAGTCTTCGTCGAACGCTATCGCATAGGAGAGGAGGTTCTGCACAAAGTTAAGCGGTGGCTCTAGTTTCTCAGGCGAGTTGACGGTAAATGTAGAGTGTGTATCGATTGGTATCCACTTCTGGTAAGAAGGGTTGAGTACCTCCACCCAATACACTGGATACGGCGTGTGATAGGCTTTCTGTTTCTTGGGTGTTACACCTGTCTTGTTCAGAACAGCATGTCGCTCCCCCATCACACGCTCGAGTCTGGATAATTTCTTGTTACGCGGGCCCTGTGACTTGGGTTTCGTTGGACTCGGCTCTGCCGGCTTGTTGTACGGATCGACAACTATCGTGTTTTTCTGAGCGCTGGTCTTCTGCGGGGTGGCACGCTCGGCTGCAGAAGCAAAAGGTAATGGCTGTAGCGAGCAGACAAGCCTAACCTCAATACCGATGCCACGAAGAAGAGCGCAAAACAATTGCGTTCCGACGTCCTGAGATCCTTGTAAAGTATGCGCTGCGGTGCGAAATTCATCCTTGTCCATAGGGTCATCAAGGTCGTCAAAGTCTGAGAAGGGTCGGATGGCGGCTTCGGCTTCTGCCCATCTAGGCTTGTACATGCCTTGAGCCGTGATTCTGAACCGCTTCGACCACAGTACCTTTAGCTCGTTCAACCCATCTATAAATTGCTTCGAGGCCGAGTACTGCGACAAGTCGGGATTGGGTACCAGATTGGATAGGGTCTTGGAGGGCACAATTTTACGTAGCGTGCTTTGTACCCTCCTGTCGTTGCACCAGGCATTTCTGCGATGGACGTGGTAGAGCAGACAGAGAATGTGCATCTTGTGGATATCCAAACGTCGCTTCTTGTCCACCGAGGTTATGGCCCGCCGACGCACCTTCCTCCTTGTCCCAGTGTCCTCTGTCTTTTTGGCTCCCATGGTGATATTGATGTCGCCAATCTTGGGTGCAGCCTCAACGCCTTCGTCGGGGTCATCGCTCTCGTCGCCATCGGCAAGCGCGTCTTCCCACTCCATATCGCTGTCATCTGACTCGTCCGAGTCGATGATAGTCTGGCGCATTCGCTCGTTCGTAGGCGGTTCCTCGTCAGTGACGGATTGGGCCTGAGCGATGGGCCGCGATCGCGTGTGCGACGGCATCTGGGATTGTGATGCAGCATCTTCGGCTTGGGACGGTACGGGTAGTGGCGACTTCGGAGCATCGGTCAGCGGTCGTCGTTGTCGTACGGGCTCAACATGGTGTTCCGGGCTTGGTTGTCGTCGTGGAGGCGCCGTTTTTCTCTTCTTGAGCGGTGGTTCGTCTGTGCTCATGGCCTGCTCTTCGCGCAGCATTTCTTGGAACACGGCTGGTACGCCTGCATCCTCCTGTTCCTTCTTGGCCCTCCGCGTTGACCGTCTTGGAGTAGCCGACTCCGCCGCCTTATGCGACTTTCCTCGCGCGCCTGCCATGTCTGCTGTCACCGGAAGAGTTGGCGAAAAGTGAAGGGATTCGATTGTGACGCTTGCGGTTGAGAGCTACACAGCGCAACAGCAACCATCATGGCTGCAATAAGCAGAGGGTAGATTGCGTGCAGATACCGCGATTCGTGAGTGTACTGCGTTGCGGCGGCCTGCTTGGAGTGCTCCAGTGAAGGCTGACCGTGATGACGCAATCGTCCAAAAGCGCGCTATCACGTGTTTGGCGACCTAGCCTCGAGCCCAACCTTGGAAGGTCGCGTCCACATCACGCTCGACCAAAGTCACTCCAAGATGCATCGGAAGGCCAATCTCACGCTCCACCTCATACAAGGAAGAAGAACAACAGCTCTGCAGCCTACTCGAAGGTAGAAACACGCAAAGTAGGTTATATAACGTCAACGTAGGCTCTGGGAAGTTCAGGTCTTTCCTTGCATGAGGTGGCTCCATGAAATGGCACTTCCCATGCTAAACCTACTATCTGGGACATGTAGTACAGATCGGCAGCCTCCATGGCTTTCGAGGTTGGTACCCGGATACTATGGACGTTACTACCGCGCGTAGCACAGCAGACTGTCGCTCTTCCCTGACCAGCATACTTCCTCAGTCGCACCTGTATGCTTTGTGGAAGGCGTGTTACAGCTGTCAGTATGGATCTGGGACAGCTTGATAACCAGCCCATATCTATGGCCATTGGTCGAGTAGGCTTGTACTTCCGAGCTGTACCCATACAACCATACCCCGGAGGTATTCAGTGCGGCTTTACACTTCTACAGGATACAAGACAGTGCCTACCTTCAGAATCGCTTTTGTATGAGGCGGGCCTTGCGATACGCTCCTTCGCATTGCAAGATTCTATCTGCTTGACCGTACCTCGTTGCTACCCTCAACAGGACTTGCGCCTACTACATCTACGTGACCGTATGTCTTGTTATCTCCCAGCCTGGTGGAGCCCCCGGACGCATCAACATCATCAGAACCATCAGCATTATCAGCTTCACCGACACCAGTAGCAACACCAGAAGCATCTATCACTATTACAGCAACTCATCATGGCCATGTCTATGAAGCCCACCGAGAATGGCATTCCACGCGCTCATATTCTGGGTCTTCCATTCACGGTTGACCGAAGCTCTCCGAAATTGCCTACGGTCGAGCCACAGCCTGTTGAAAACCCGCCGCGAGCACAGGAATATACTGGCTCTCAGTATTCTGAGGCAGTGGAGGAGACGAAACTTCCAGCGCCAGGCTCAGTACATCTCCCAAAGAGGCCACATCACCGTCCATTTGGCGCGATTTCCAGCTGCTGCTCAACCAGTCGACCTCACACACCATCTGCGAAGGCAACGGCGACGGTACATGCACACGACGATGCGCATGACGGGGAAGAAGCCCCAGCCTTGGAGAGCTCACATACCCAAGCTCACGCCATGGGTATTTGCTGCTCGGGGTCTCCCCGTCCAAGTGAGGACTCTTCGCTAAAGCATCTAGGTGAAATTGCGATCTCGAGCGAACAAGAGGACGTTGAGCTTGGCCCTTCAAATTTTGAGCGAGTCGTTCTCCGCATCGATGGTCTCAAGTGCGGATGCTGCGAATCAGGGCTTTCGCGGGCGGTTGGACGCATCCCTTCCGTTAGGAACTTTCAAGTGAACACTGTCTTAGCTCGGGTCGAGCTAGAGCTGGATACCAATCGGCTGTCCGTTGACAGGATTATCGAGCTACTGGAAATGAGGACTGGATACAAATTCGAGGAGCAGGTGACGGTTTCTGGTCAGGTTTTAGAGTTCATCATCACCGATCCCAGGCGTTTGCAGCATGCCATCCAACCACGCGGCGTCACACGTGTCGAGGCCCCCGAACGAGCACCATGGCGTCCTTTCGGCTTGTTGAGTGGGCGCAAGGGCTTAACGCAGGAGAAGACGGCCGACGTCAACGGAGATCCCGGTGCCGAGGACAGCCCTCGCAGAACCTCGAAGCTACGTATACCACCGACCAAGATATATTACGACGCGAACGTTATCGGCGCTCGAGACGTCTACGAACACTACCTCAAATACGATCCCGATCTAACTCTAGCACCTCTAGTGGCAGATCCAGGGCTTGATCTTGGAGCCAAGCAGACCAGAAGAGCCCTGAAATGGTTCCTTCCCACACTGGCTCTCACTCTCCCCGTCCTCATCTTCGCATGGGCCCCACTCAACCACGAGAATCCCACTTTCGCCCACATCTCATTGGCTCTAGCAACCCTCGTACAGCTAATCGCCTTCTACCAATTCGTTCCGAACGCCTTGAGATCTCTCTATCACTCTCACGTGTTAGAGATGGACTTCTTGGTGACATTCAGTACGCCAGCTTCAAGTTCCATCCTCAAATTACGTTTGCTAACTACATACTTCCATAGGTACCATGATGGCGTACGTTTTCAGCGTCGTATCCTACAAGTACCAACTTGATGGTAGGCCACTAGAAACTGGATCGTTCTTCGAGACGTCTACGCTGTTGGTCTCGCTTCTCTTGCTGGGCCGCTTCATCAATGAATACGCTCGTTATCGAGGTAAGTGAATGTATACCTTATCACCCAGGAGCCTACATCGCTTTTAGATATTGTGATCATAAGTTTTACTATCGATTCAGTCTCCAGGACACATTCTAATCTTTTCTTGCAGCTGCGAAGTCGGTATCCTTCAGATCGCTCCAAGTCGACCAGGCAATCCTTGTGCAGCAGACCACGACGTCGTGGGCCAACGCAATCACGAGCAGAATCGACAGCAGACTACTACAGTACGGTGATTACTTCTGCACACCACCGCACACCAGGATCGTGACAGACGGCGTGGTCGTATACGGAGGCTCCGACGTCGACGAATCAATGATGACGGGTGAGTTCAAGCCGAACGCGAAGGGACTCGACTCGGAAGTCTTCGCAGGCACCAACAATGGAGACGGTCAGCTCATCGTGAGCTTAACGAAGCTGCCTCATGAGAACTCGGTCCAGCAGATTGCTGCCTTGGTTGAAGACGCTGAGTTGACAAAGCCGCGAGCACAAGCACTGGCTGATCGGGTCGCTGGTTGGTTCGTTCCCGCGATGGCTTCCATTGGGCTCACGGTCTTTCTCATCTGGCTATTCGTTGAGCGATACCACAGCACAAAATCCTGGAGGGTACGGTATCCGCTCAGCGAACATTGAAAATTCCCTAGCTAACTGTTTTCCAGTGTGTCCGCCAAGCTCTCTTCCGTGGAGGCAGGTCAAGGTCAGCATACTGACGTATTAGCAGAAGCTCGGTACTCACTGCCATTACCTATGCCATCGCCACCCTCATCGTCTCATGTCCATGCGCCATCGGTCTTGCCGTACCCATGGTCGTCTTGATCGCAGGTGGTGTGGCCGCACGGCACGGGATCATCTTTCGGGACCCCCAGAAGCTCGAGATCGCACGCAACGTCGCCGATGTCATCTTTGACAAGACCGGTACCATTACCACGGGAAGACTTGAGATCATTGGTCTCCCTATGCATCGCAACACGGACCACATACTCATGAAGGGGCTGTTACTAGGCCTTGTGAAGGACATCAAGCACCCTGTGTCCATCGCAATCACCCAGTATCTGGAACGAGACATACTCGCCCACAAGAACTTCGAACCTCTTCAGGTCAACAACATCACCAGTATCCCTGGCAAAGGCGTCCAAGGCAATTGTGCGAAAACTGGGGTGGAGATTCGTGCAGGTAACGCAGAATGGCTTCACATCAACGTCATCGGACAAGGAAAGAACACAGCATGCTACTTTACCTACGGCGGCGATCTTCGCATGAGCTTCGAACTCCTGGATCAACCCCGGCCCGAAGCAATAATGGTAATCAAAGAACTCCACGCTCGAGGAATAAACGTACACATGCTCAGTGGCGACAACGACGGCGCTGTCAGCGACGTGGCGACAACCCTATACATCGACGAGGCGAATACAAAGGCTCGATGCACACCCGAAGGAAAGATGCAGTACATCCGTGATCTCCAGGACTCGCGCAGGAAATCCATCGTCATGTTCCTGGGTGACGGAACGAACGACTCTGCAGCGCTCAAACAAGCCGACGTGGGCGTGCACCTCAATGATGGTTCCGACGTTGCAAAGTCCGCGGCTGATGTCGTCCTTATAACGACCCGACTACACGACGTTCTCATCCTACTTGACATATCGCATGCGGCATACCGACGCATCTGCTGGAACTTCAGTTGGTCGGCGTTCTACAATTTCTTCGCCATCATCCTTGCTGCCGGCGCATTCGTCAAGCTCCAGGCCAACGTGAGGATCACCCCGCAGTGGGCAGGTCTGGGCGAGCTCATCAGCGTCCTGCCTGTGGTCTTGATCGCGTTCCAGATGCGCTTCCGCAACTATGGGAAACCGTACGGAGCGATGGAGAGGACGTATCAGAAGGTTGAGGCGCCGAAGCGCGAGCAGCGACGTAGTCGCCAGAGTGCTAGTTCGGCGAGCGCTGGGTGCTGTGAGATGCCCACGTCGACTTTGGCACATGTTGACGCTATTACGGGTATGAGTGAGAAACGTGGGCTTGGGAAGGTGGCGTATTGGCTTTCGTCGAGACGATGATTGTTTTACTTTTCTTGCATTTGGAGTTTTGCTGGAGGTGTAGGGTAGATTGATAGTGTGAAATTCATTGTTCTTGTCTTATCTTCATGCCTGTTCGCGCTGCTTTCTATGTGTATCCCTCTATCCATTTCTGGGAATGTGCCCTGGAGTGCACATCGCAGTTTACCATGTCATATCGCAGGCTAAAGCACACGTTATACCTTCAGGGTGGGCTTCGCGATGTAGGTACGATGTTCATTGAAGGTGTATCTTCACAACATGCTCTTTCCAATTCGTCGGAACCCCTTCTCCATCCATCATGCCATGCACATATGTATCGCCGACGAGCGTATAGTGACCTCTAGGCGCACCTGGGACTACTCGAAGGCAGAACGGCACGTTTCCCCCCAACAAAACAGCAACAGAGTCACCCGGAAGCATTTCCGGCGGGCCGACGCCCATATGGCCGTCTGTCGTGATGAAGAACCTCCGATGAAACCCCGATGTAAAGCAAGCCTCATAGAAGAAGCGATCGTCGCTGAGATCCTCCCCATGCAGACTTCCCACGGCACCAGGATTGGTCGCTCGAGCCTGGCACCATGCCTGCAAGTTCCTTCCCAAGCGCGAGACGTTTATGTTGCCGAATCGCTGTGATTTGTTTCCTCGAGAAGAGTCATTCGACGAAGCAGCTTGGTTCGACGGAAGCGGTTCCCAGCAGTCAGTCGTCAAGATACGCCAGAGCGCTTCTTCCAACGACTGATTTCCTAAAGCGCGAAAGACATTTTCCTTCTCTGCTTCGATCATGCGATAGCACGTTTCAAGTGTGTCGATGATGTTTTTCCAAGTAAGTCGCTCCGTATGTAAAATATGTGAGACTTGTGAGATCGTCTGGCGTGGCTCGAAAGCGTCTACCGTGAGTACATCTTTTCTTCTCTCGGTGTGGGCTGCCGTTCCACCCGCCGCTGCATACAGTGCTGAGCGGTGTAGTTTGAGTTGTGCGACTGCGTACTGCGTCGCTGTCTTTGGGCTGATTTCCACGACCCAAGATGGTATGCCTGATACGCCGGCCATGGTTCTACCCATCAATGCACCCAACGAACGGGTACCACGTATATCCCTGATCGTCGCTTGAATGAAGACTTCTTTCGGGGAGAGACTGTAGTCAGGGATAATGGGCGATGTACCTTGCCAGTCTGTGACAAGGCCTAGTACACCGAACACATTGTCTCTGATATTCGTCGCTTCGTGCAGATGTACGAGACGCATGACTTGACTCAGACACAGTCTTTTGCCTCGCTGTCTGAGCTTCTGGAGGGCTACCGCGCCGGTGTGCACGGCGAATGATAATTGACTCCAAGCCAACCTGCCGTTTGTCGGCAGCGATAAGCTGAGGCTTCTGCAACAGCCTTTGGAGTGTCTGGTTATTGACTGAACTGCCTCTATGAGCGTATTCCATGGCATCGTGTTGTTGCAGTAAACCACCGTGGCCCGTCGAGCAAGCACCGTCTCTTGTACAACCCAGATCCGATACCACCATGGATTGGAAATCCATGTCTTTGTAGCTCGAATGACTGCCGACCAACTCTCCTTGCGAAGCAACCGCCCGTTCTCTACAGTGAAGAAGGGGATTTCGCCTACGTGCTTGTCCATGCCACAGATTCGTATGTAAACAAAGAAGCCAAGTACGTCCTCTGCCTCCTTTTGCTCTTCTCTTCCACCATGTCGGGTCTTGCTCTGCTTGAAGTAGGCATCCACAGTTATAGAGTCTCTGTCATCTCCAGTCCAGTCGACGGTGGCCGGTCGTTTGAAGGGCGCTCGCGAGCTGCGTCCGTAGCCGAGCCAGATGAACGTTTCTTCCGCCAAACTGTATATTTCGCCCATAAGCTGTACTTGTTCCGAACGCTCGTTGAGGTCCGACTGGTTGATGCAGGCTGCATCCGCGTAGATGATCAAGGCCTCATCCGTTCTGCGCAATCTCTGCAGCCCATTGCGCAGATTCTGCGTTATCTCCAGCGTCTCGCCATCGATCCTGATGGGTAGTGTTATCGTTGGGTCGCCCCAAACATACGAGATCGCGTAGAATTGTGGGTTGTCGTTCAGCGAGGCAGTCTCGAGGTGGCATTCGATGTCATCATTCCAGGCCCCTGGGTGAACATGGAGTAGACGTATTTCTTTCCGGGACGCGTCAAGCTGGGAATACATGCTGAGGCGCTGAAATTGCTAGCAGTTTGCGACGGCTCGCGTTGGGTGCATGGCTCAACATCGTTACCTGGAGAGGCTGCTGAACTTCGCGGGTTACGCGTCGCATTTCTCTCATTTATTTCCCCCTATAATTGACATCAACGGTGGCACGGACTGTTTGCTCCTTCCTGATGTTGTTGGCTGTGATGGCATCTTGATATCCGATAAGCTGGGAGCAGAGAAGCGAGCCAATCACCCGGGTGATCCCGTGGGGCTGTGCTGGGCGTGTATAGGTCGTGAAATTGGGGGCGGAAACTCATCTCAATCATTCGAGCCAACAGAACCGACGCAATAGCAGAACAAGGTATATAATTTCGTAACCATCATAAGTATCATCGTTATATAGCCGCGTGGCCAGCATCATCATGTGATCTTCTTTCATACATCTTTCCTCTTTGGCTCAATCATCAGACAAAATAGTCGAACCCCAAAAGAGAACATCAAAGAAAAGGTCGTCATCGTAATATATGAGAGCAATTTCGTGAGCGCGAAAATGAAGAAGCCAACCCAGGATCAAGGGAAAGGTGGTTGCCGATCCTAAAAGCAATAAGAGGAATAGGTTTTTCGCTAAAAACGCTTCAATGCCGTCGCTATGCAGCCCCGCTGGGGAGGAAGAGCAAGATCAGGGTAAGGAAAATGGGCGTGGGTATGGTAGTCGTTACATAGCCCAGCTCGTTTCGATGGGGTAGGAACAAGGCGTCCAGTCCCGATAAGATATCACCGCAGTACTGGATAAGGATAAGCTCGTAGCAAGGCCGTAAGGGATGCAGAGTCGTAGGAATCGTGGTATCGCTGAGCTCGAGCTCTTCAAGTCTTTTGGTTCGATGCGGTCGTCGTAAGGTTTTGGTTTCGTTGTTGCTTTGGTGTGGATCCCGTCGAGGGAAGCGAAGTCTATCGATATCTTACACCCTGTATCCCGCCTCTTGGAGACATCCTGAGCACCTCTCGTAAGCACGGACATAGCCGCGACCGCAGTAGCATGCCGAGGTAGTTGATGGCGCGACAGAAGCCTTGCTGGGTCGTCGTCCTCCTGCCGCGGCTGCCTGTGCAGCATCGAGACCACAATCGGAGCTCCTTGGGCTGGTGCCGCCACTGGTGGTACTGGAGCTGTCGTAGTCGTTGGATGAGGAAGTATTGCGTCGGCCCGCTCCTATGGGTGTTGGCAGTCCTTGTGCGCCCTGGCCGGGCCGTTGTCCTGGGTACATTCCATCGTTTACCGAGAAGTTGCGGCAGATCATGTAGGCTCGGGTGGCGGCGGCATTCTTGGCTAGCTCTTCGCTTTCGTATTCAACATCCGTGGAGTACTCTCGGTTGTTTACTCTGACTGTTGATCCGTAACCGTAGCGTGTTCGGTAGGTTTGGAAAAGTGGGTCAGGCCAGTGGCGCCTTTGGCAAAGACCTATATCCGAGGGTCAGCAACCAGTACACACACACATTGAATCTGCTATTGTGCTGCAAAGTCTTGGACATGGTCTTCCACCCCGTTGTGTGGATCCCCTACACTAGGCAGGGCTATCACCCATGAGTCTTGCACCAATTGCCATGTCGTCAAGACCTCATTTGGCTCAACTAGATCCGGCTACGTGGTACCATCTGTCTAAAAAGAAAAGGAACGGTTCAAGCACTAACCTGTCAGGTACATAACGTAGAACATGTTGGAGGTGGTCGAAAAGGATTATTGACGTGTAATGGAGCGATTGGAACGACTGATGGCGCTTCGATGGTGAGCTGTCAGTCTGAGGGCAAGACTACTGCTGCGGAGTATTGCTGAACTGGCAAGCGTTCGTCGGTGGCGACGATAGTAGGCCGAGAAGGTTTCCGTGGCAGTGGTTGTACGACAGTAAATGCTTTTAGGGTGTGGGTGACAGTTGCCAATAAAGCATTGACAGCTGTACAAAAGAGATGAAAAGCGTTGATGTATGAAGAGCAAGGTAGAGGGAGCGGCTTGCAGTCAGTCGGACGGGGATGGGGGAAGCATATGTGCCTACTGTGGGATGGAGGAATATATTGCAGCAGGCGAGTGTAGCATGTATCCAAGCGCGTCTCGCCCACCAGTAAAAACGGAGGGGCAATTGGGCTTGTGGAAATGGATAATCTGCGGGTCTTGTTGCGGCTCTGAATGAGGGAGACCCATAGTATGTGCTGGCGAGAAGGTAGCCAACGGTAAAGGTTCCAGAATTTTAGCTAGTAAGAGACTCAAACCTCAAAAGGTACAGCCTGACCGGTTCGCTCTTGCCACCGTGCTGCACGCAGTAGCGCAGTGAAAAAAACGGCTGGCGATCGGACACAATTGCTGTAACCCGTTTTCCCAAGGCTGGACATGTCTCGATCGGCATTGTGCAGGTTTAGACGCCTAGGATGGGCGCATAAACAACGAGGTGGCAGACGTGCATCCTAACAGCACTCTTTGCTCGTATCTCCCGGATGCACTGGGCCCACTAATGCAATATGCAAAGTGAGGGGAGAACGCAAATACGTCAGACTCTGCACCCTTTGTCAAGTGTACCGATACCCTGAAATCTTGGCAACAGAATGCGTGATATCGGCGTATGGTTTGGGAGGCAGGGTCTGAAAGGAATCAGAGACCAGACCAGACGTGCAGCAAAAAAATGGGACTGCTAATCGGCTAGGGTACCAACCGCCAGAGTCGCGACTGGAGAGGAGTTGGACACGATTGTGTGACTGCAAGACAATGCAAAGCATAGTGGCTCGAAGCGAGAACGCGTCACAACAGGCATAGCATGGAGCTACCCGACAGCCCCAGGGGCGAGCGAGGCGAGTTGATTGATGCGTTCGAGGGTTCGAGGAGATACCTGGGGTTGGTGTTACCAGAAAGCATCAAGCGTCACTGCCAACGCATACATGCAGAAAGCACGGTCCTCTGAATATCGCTACTGGGAAACGCGCCTGCAGCTCGAATAGGGAAAGGGTCAACGGCTGTTAGCTGTAAGCCGTGTGCATGCAGGCATAAATTGGCATTGCGGAGACTGTCTGATGGCGCTCCAGCACGTTCGCGAGACGTAGTGGAGTACGGTTTGACAGGCGATGATTGACGAGGAGAGGACAGCTGGAGGGGCCAGGCGTTCTCGCGCACGCGATCCCGGTCAATCGAGAGAGACAGAGATGAAGAGTTCACAGACCCTGGGATCCCCATGTTCAAGGCTGATGGTAGGGCATCAAGCAGTCCCCACTTTGCCGAAGTCAAGACATTGAAGATAGCAGGATGCCAAGCTCAGCACGAACGGGTCTGGAGCTTTGGGAGGAAATTTTCGAATCGACACAAAGGGATCATGCGTCGGGCGGCTGCAGAGCGTACTCGACAATTGACCTGCCGCGAAGTGGATAGCAGCAGTACAAAGGTTGAGGGTGCACAGAGCAAGTCGTCGTGGAGCGGAAGCAAAATTCGGACGATTCGATAGGCCGGCGCGGTTCACGACAGGCAGCGGTGCATGGCTAGGTCCCAGGTCCCAGTAAGGACCGCTTCTGTCTGGCGCCGATCCAAGATGGTGGTTGATACATGGAGCGGGACGATGGCGCTTGTGAATAGCGGCAACGAAGCGCAAGGAACAGCCACTGATATATTGGACAAAGAATAGCGTTTGCAGTCCAGACGAGCGCGTCCAAGGCCAGCAGAATCAGCGCGGAGATGAGTGAACGAGCTTCAGAACTATGTCGCACGCGCGGGAGATCTGTGGATGACGCGAGCGCGCCAGCACGGCCACCCGCCCCAAGCTGCAAAACAGGCGGTGAAGAAGCCAGCGCTGTCAACCATGCGCCCCTCTTTCTGCGCATCAATTCTTGACACTACGCATTAGCAAAGACGACTGTTCTTTGACCTACTCGACCGCGTGAGAGGGCGGCCATTTGGACCGCAGAGTTGTCGGCCCTGGAGGCGTCCTGTCGTGGACATGTCGTCTTCGAATCGGCCTGATTCCATCAATAGGCTACTGAAGACCCACATGTTCGAGCGCTTTTCCAACCAAGAGCACCCTCACCCTCCTGTTCAGCCTCGCGCGGTGAGAGGTGGTGCTGCAGCCGGGTGTGGTGCAGGGTAATCTAGAGCTGGAGGGGCCGGGTTTCGCGTCCATTACCGATGCTCGATGAGGGACACAACGCACCGTCCCGACCCTCCGAATCTCGACATTGCAGATTGCAGCCCCTCAGGGTCCATTCACCCTTACACAGCTCGAGGATGCGGTAAAGGCTCTGGCCAGCTCTTTCCACGCTCCATGTGTGACGTCTAACAGCATATGACTGCCATCCTTCACCGGCATCGGATAGCGGTGTCTGTCGTCTACTGTCAGTAGCATCAGTTACCCCACGATTCAAACCGACTTTCCCTCTCTAGTGACACGTTTCAGACTATCGAGACAGGCATGGTTTGCGCATCGAGAATGTACGCCTCGCCGTCTCGTAGTAGACAGGCTACGTAATTGCTGTCAGCTCACAAGCAGACCACCCGTCGTACAGCCGCAGTACGCGGGGTCAACGGCCAGACTACGGCGTCCGCAAAAAGCAAATGTAATTAGACCGTAGATGGAGTATGTACGACGTCTTGAACAATACGCTGTGCAAAGCGTAGGGGAACCGACGTTGACGTTGACGTTTCGAATGGCTCTCCGCCTACTCCGGAGTCCGACAGAGTACCTAGATATACCAACTTGACAGCCTCACACATGATATATACACATTCATACAACGAGCTGAATCATACAAACTACTACTACAGCTACTCTCAAATCACCAGAACCGACAACCGTCAAGATGCCTAAGATCGTCCGCCTCACCATGTTCAAGATCCCCGACCAGGACATGGTCAAAGAAGCCATCCAAATGTACAACACTCTCGCCCAAGACGCGAAAAAGGTACGTCGAAGCCCTCTCTTGACTCGCCAACATTCCCTCCAAGTCCTCCCATTCCCGTTCCAGATCTCCATACATACCCGCTTTCTCAGCCGAGTTACGGCCAGCACATATCCATCGAACGTGCAGTCCATACCGCCCGCCCCCTGCACGACGGACCATCTCGTCACGTCGGGACCCCAGATTTATTCTAGTCGCCCTCGGGCTATTTCCATCTTGCTCCCTCGATAAGAAAAGAGCGGATAATGGCAACAACCCTCCTCTTCGCGCGCGCGGAGCAATGTCCCTGGCGGGTAATCGCTGGAAATATTGCCGCGGCTAGGAGAAATGGGGTGGGGGTGACGAGGCTGCAGCAGCAAGCGGGCGACACCAACGAGCGCGCGGAATCAACTCCGAGTCACGACGCACATATCGGCCGCCTTGGATCCATTGAAGCCTCACGATGGACAGACTGACGCTAGAGATATACCGACAGCCTCCGCACCGACCGACTTCCGAGGCTATCGTCGTCCGCCGTTTGTTGTTTGTTACTGCTTATCGAGAGGATGCATGCTAACGTCATTGTGTTTTTGTGCAGGACGGCAAGACGTACATCCAACTTGCACAAGCCAATGCCACCTATGACGACCCGCGCAGCCAGGGCTACACGATGCTGGCGCGTTGCATATTCGAGTCTAAGGAGGATATGGACTATTACGACAACCAGGATGAGGCACATGCTAAGATCAAGGCGCACTTTAAGCCGAAGGTCAACTCGCCGCCGCTCGTCATCTACTCGGATATGGCATAGAGGGGCTGCGATGTGGGGTGTTGAGCGCTGTAGTGGAATACATGGAATCGAAAGAGTAACACATGGCAAACTTTGTTTTCTGTTGTGATGATGCCAGAAATGACGAAAGATAGCACATGTGCCTACGCAATTATCCACGACAATATCAGCCGAGTAAAGAAAAGAAGAGTCTTGCTCGGCCAGACAAACGTATTGACAAAGCAAAGAGCGTCATAACTAGGACTGATGGCATCAGACCTAGCTGCAGTCTCATTACTCGGCCCTTCTTTGTCTGGTCCAACATCTTTGTCTAAGACAACTCCGTTGGTCAACGTGCAAACCGAACAGTACGAGCTTCAGCTCTTCTATCGCCTGTCCTGAAATCTCGGCTCAAGCCAGGCCCTAACTTACAGGAAAAATGACAGTCTCAGATCTTGATCTCAGACGATCTTTGAGCAATGTCAGCTACTACTACTGACACCAAGTGTCAAAAGAGTGAAACACATGATGGAACCGCTGACCCAGCGCATGGACAAAGACATATCACAATGAATACTTCATGCTGGCATACAATCATCAACACTGGGACACAATGTACAATCACCTTAGATTCGCTCCTTTGATCAAATGAAAGAGACGGCATCTTCATTGTTCAACATAGCCTACCTTGTACCGGAAGACCTATCGCAGTCATCTCATACAGCTCTCGAGATCATACTTGAACTCGTCTCCATCGCTATATCCTAAGTGACGAAGCTGAACAATCTTATGGGTATAACATCTTCTTCACTACAAGTAACAACACCAGCACCACCCACATAAAAAGCACCTGCTGGAACTCCAGCACAGAAACCATGTCACAAAGAAAGCGTCAAGCACCATCCTTACCAGGTCTACCAACGTATGACTCCTCCGCCTCCTCCTCCAGTAGCTCAGAGGCAGAACCAGAAGACTACAAACCAAAGGTCAAGCAAGAAGCAGCCTCAACCCAACAAGTAGCCCTAATCCAACAAGTAGCCGCAACTCAACAAGTAGCCGCGACCCAAGTTGTAGAGCCAATCCAAAAGGCAGAGCCAACCCAAGAAGCAGAGGCAGCGCCAGGAGTCGCGGGATACACCTGGCCACCGCCGCCGGGCTCACCCACAGAGTCCGACACCGACGAACCCGAACCCGAACTCGATCCACTTTGCGAAGACATAAATTGGGATAGCGACGAAGAACCACACGGAAACAATGAAAACGAGGGTGGAAACGAAGGAGAACCGCAGACCAGCGGCGTCGGGGCCCAGAACCCCATGATCGAAGAGCCCATAGAACGTATGTACAGAACACCATCGTGGGGACACTCCGTATACTCATTCAACTCAGCAGCTTCCTCGCCACGAGGCCCCCAAGTCGACTCAGCGGCTTCATCGCCGCTAGGTCCGAAAAGTCCTACTCCGCCTCCTCCGTCTCCAGGTCCACCTGCGAACAAGCCGAAGAAGAAAGGTATGCCAGCGGGTATCGCTCCGAGACCAGGACACCAACATGCTGAGACGGGCATGGAGAAGGACGCCCCCGATGCTGGTGTAGCCCGCGCGGTAGCAGCAGCAAAGAAACGAAAACGCGAGGAGGAAGCGAAGATTAAGCGCAAGGCGCCGCCGCGGAAGAAGACACGATTTGCGTCACCCGAGAAAGGGGATGACGACGACGACGAGTCTGATGCTCCATCTGAACCAGCAGTAGTTGAGACGGGGAAGAAGCCGAGGAAGAAGAACAACAACGGGAAAAAGGAAGGCGCAAAGCCGAAACCGGGCAAAGCCCCTCCCAAAAAACCGACAAAGAACACGCCGAAAGGCGGTAAGGCAAAGAAGGGGGAGGGTATAGAGAAAGTGAAGTGTAGTGGAAGAACGACGAAGGGCGAGCCGTGTAAGAACGAGAAGAAAATGAAGGAGGGAGATGAGTATAATTGTGGGAAGCACAAGTCTGATAAGTGAGGTAAGGTATGTGATCGTAACGATAATCAACGTGTAATTGTACGCAATCTTCAAATGGAAAGCTTTGTTTTCAGGTTTTGGTATTCATACCTGCAGTACAGTACATGCACACATGATCTCCCTTTCCATATCCATCTTCATCCCCATTCTTCCCCGTTTCCTCTTGAGAAAAGGCAGCATGCCGAAGCACAACCTTGCTTATATCCCATCGCTAAACCCAACCCAACCCAAAGCATCCATCCATCCGTACCAAACCAGACGCTTTTTCGTATCGCGAACGCACTTCCCCATGCTGAAGAGGGGAAATGTAGAGTGCTTGTAGAGACGCCTCCGTAGAAAATGCACAACTACTACCACGCAGTTCTATATGCCAGCCGGAGTGTATGCAGAAATATACAAGAAAGATACACGTTATTAAAAAAAAGTGTGTGTAGAAGATTTGCGTCGACGTATCGTTCGACCGGGTATCTCGTGGGTGCGTTTACATGATAATCGAAGGAGCTAGATCCTGTTAGCCACCGTAACACATAGTATGGAGTATGAGGGCAAACTTACTGTCAACGTTCTGCTTGATAGACTTGTGCGGCAGAACCGAACCACCATTAACGTAAACCTCATCACCAATCGTAACATCATCACCAAGCACAGTCACATTCTCGAGACGCGCCCACTTGCCCACGGTGCTGTTCCAGCCGACAATCGACGACTTGACCCAAGCGTGGTCCTTGACGCGGCTGTTCTTGAGCAGCACACAGCGCTGGAGACGCACACCGTCGCCGATGACGACATTGGGGCCGATGGTCACGTTGGGACCGATGCGGCAGTTCTTTCCTATCTTGGCGGACTCGTCGATGAGCACGTTGCCGCCGTAGACGTAGGGTTCCGAAGCGGGTGTCAGCAGCTTGGAGTTCTTGCGCGCGAGCGAAGAGAGGTAGAGGCATGTTCCCGACAGGAAGTCCTTGGGCTGACCGACGTCCATCCAGAAGCCCTCGAGGTCGAAGGAGTGGAGGAGGCCGTCCTTGACAATCGCAGGGAAAGTCTCTTGCTCGATAGATGTGGGGCGCAGCTCAATGCGCTTGAGCACGCTGGTGTTCATGATGTAGATACCGGCGTTGATGCGGTTGCCGACGAACTCGACGGGCTTCTCGACGAAACGGTCGATCTTGGAGGCGTGGCCGGGCTTGTGGACTACGACACCGTATTTGGAGGGCTCTTCGACCTTGGTGACGACGATGGTGCCTTCGTCGCCGTGTTGCTTGTGGAACTCGGCGAGCTGCTTGAAGGGGTAGTCGCAGGTGACGTCGGCGTTGAGGACGAAGAAGGGCGAGTCGTCCTTGCCCAGGACGTTCTCGGCGAGCTTGAGGGGGCCGGCGGTGCCGAGGGGCTCGGTCTCGACGGAGAATGTGATGGTCACGTTGTATTGCTTCTCGTACTGCGCAGCCGGTTATTCGTGTGCTCTGGTTTGCCGTGGGGTGGGTATACTCACTGTCTTGAGCGCCTCGGCCATGATCTCCGGGCGGTAGTTGACGGCGAGGACAACATCTGTGACACCGGCAGCGGCGAGGGCCTCGATCTGATGCTGGATCATGGGCTTGTTCGCGAACTCGACGAGCGGCTTGGGGTAGGTGAGGGTCTGCAATTGGCGTTAGCATGGCCGTTGCTTCTGGCATCGCGGGGCTCTCGAGCGAGGGCTGCGCGGGGAGGAGGGCTTACGAGAGGCCTCAGACGGGTACCGAACCCTCCGACGAGAATGATGGCTGCAGTGGCTGTTAGCTACGTATAGCAGAGTCGCAATTGGCCAGGCGTACCTTTCATATTGGCGGTGTTGTAGTTGTGTAAAGGCGCAGGTACTAGGAACTTGTCGCAGGGAAGAACGGTAGAAAACAGTCAAGTCTTCAACACAGCACAAGCAGGCAGTAATTGCCGGGTATAGAAGAAGAAAAGAGTCGCACGGTCGAGTGAAAGCGCAGGGCAAAGAGCAAGGGAGCTTGTTGGTGATGAGGCCAGCTGTAGGTTATATGCGTCGAAGCACCCGCGTCCACAATTAGCGGAGCTAATGCTTTCCCTGGAAATGTTCTAGCTCACACCGGCGCCGGTTCCCCTTTCTTTCACCCACCACATGCGCAACCCCCGAGTCCCGCTACGCCTCTTCAACCCACTCCCTAACCGCTATCGTGATCGTGGCCTGGCCAGATGGGCCCTGTTCCTGATCGCTCGCCCTATCCGCTTCTAATTCGGGGAGTAGCTTCGTGTTGTGACTGCTAATAGGCTGAGTTCGTATTCCATCACGAGGGAACAATCAGCTCGTCTCATTTCTGCTCGTTGGGTACGTGACGCTGGTCACCGCTCTGCTCTCCCTTTTCCAGGGCGAATTGCACCACGTGCCTGTGAAGCTGTGAATTGGGCGGCGTGGTCATCTCAGAATCTTCTGATCACGCCTCGGTCCCCACGTCGGGACCCTGAAAGCTATCCGCGCCCCTGGTACCGCCGACATGTGGCTAGCTGTGGCTGACCGAGAACACTACCAAGCCTTTGACAAACGCCAATCTATCTGTCACGTCGCTCATGGTGCACCTGATCATTCTTCAATGCACGACGTTTTGGATTTGCAGATCCATGGTACCTCCACTCGGCCCCTCACAGCCACACTCACGATGTTCGCTCCCGCTTCAATCAGCGTCTATGCGACGCGCGTCGTGTGTTGGTGGCGAGATTGCCACGATCATGCGTCCAATGCGCTTACGCAGTCTTGAATACGGGTAGATAAAATAGAACTGCGCTTCTGCCGTTATTTTGATCTAGTCTCCACGATGTTCTTCGGTCGCCAGCGGGACTCCCCTCGGTCATCGCGAACCATGGACATGGCATGCCGGAACCAGACCATTTCTTCTCCGCATGCATTGGCTGAACGCTGGTTCTGAATCATGTAATATACAAACTCCCCGTACAAACGCCCAGAACACGTACTATACACAACTTCGTAACCAATCTCACATCCTACAGACTCGTGTATTATCTCAACTCCTCTTCCGAAAGCTCATCGACCTCAACGCATCCCCCACACTACTCCCCCGCTTAAACATGCCCGGTCTCCTCCCGGGCCCATCCGTAGGACTCTGCTCGGGCGACAAACGCTGCCCTTGATTCCGCGGGCTCCCCGTCTTCGACGGCGTCTTAACCAGCCCCTCACCAAACACAAACTCCTTCGCGAATATCCAATTCCCACGTTCATACCGCCATAGATCCAAACCTACGGCACGACCCTCCTGGTTCCTTTCGCTCAGCTCCTGGCGAATCGTCGCGAACGCGCTGTCTACTTTTGTCTCCTCATCGACTTTGTTCATGACGGTCCAGTGGGGACGGAAGCCACCTGCGTCTTGCTCGCTTAGGAATTCAGACCATTGGGTTTGTAAGTCGGCGTGGACGTTTTTCATCTTCTTGTAACCTGAGTCGACGTTGATGCCTACGCCTTTGCGCATCCGGAAGGGCTTGCCGGTTGAGACGTCGAAGGGCTGGATGCTCCCCGATACCTGTGCGAGCCCTTGTTCTAGCGCTTCCATGTGCGAATGTGGAAGTGCGTGGAAGAGGGTTAGATGCGCACCTGTGCGGTTGAGGTGTTTGGGGAAGTACTGGTTTCGCATGTCGTCCATGGGCTTGGCTAGGGAATCTGTGAGTTTGAGCGTGAGGACGTAGACTTGTTCATCTTGACTCGCGGTGTTCGGTCTATGCTCTTGTCGGGGATAGTGTCCTGAAGGTCGGCTTTCTTCCACGACGTATGGCTCATTGTTGGCTTGCTTGGGACTGGTCTTGCCCTCCTTCTTGGTTGACCAGCCGCGGAAACTCGTTTTGGCCCTGATTCCTGCGCCGGGGCGTTGTGGTTTCTTGGTCTGCTCTTTTTGTTGTGCTTGCGTTGCTTCAAAGGATGCGCGCAGATCTGGGTCTGAACAGGCTCGGGCTTGGATTTGAGGCTGCCGAACCCCGCCGTTGGGTGTGCTGACGGCGGCTGCGTAGGTAACTGCCATTGTGCTGAATCGTGGTGATGCTGCTGATGTGATCCCGTTAGACGGTGATGATGACAAAGATTGACCCAGCTGCCTGAGGACAGCAATCCTCATCGAAAACGCGAACGTGGCTGGTGATGTGAGTACTTTCACGAGCTGCCCCTTGAAATGTAGTACGGAACTTCGGAAGATCACATACGTCACTCGACGGCCACTAGCGATGCGCCCGCGCTATGTGGAGATGCCTCAAGCTATCGCGTTTAGGTTTATAGGACGGGAATACCCCAAACCTCGTGATTTGAGGTGGAGATGCATTGAGTCGTAGGCTTCGAAGTATTGTACCGCAGTATAATTAAGTATATGTAGCAGGCCAGAGTGTTCAACCGCCGCAATGTATGCATGCTCGTATTCTGAGACCCACAGTTCTCGCTTCTACAGCGACCAGCTGCCTGCGGTCTATGTGGAACTGTCCACGGGTATCAAAGACTCCCAAACTCTACGGCCTAAGATGGTATCTGAGCAACCCAGGTCCCTAGATCAGCGTCTGCTGGTGGTGCGCCATCTTCCAATCGCCTGACACGCCTTCTGAAGCGCCTTCCAGCACCCATGCACTCGAGCAGATGGCCCTAAACGTCTCGCTGTCCCTTGTCGCCTCTACGCGGTAGTAGATCAGCGCGCTGTCCTTGCCCAGTATAACGACTTCATCGTGGCTGAGTTTGTATGACTTCCAGGGCTTGGAGTCGGGGCCTTGAAGCATGTTGTGGACTGTTGGGGACGATACGGAGGTCAGGATGAGGTCGCTCGGGAAGATCATGACGGGATTGCTGGAGAGAAGCGGAACGAGTTCGGCGCCGGAACTGCATAGCGCTGCCCAGGCTTTGTGTTCGAGCGAGCATATCGCAGCGGTCAAGGACGGGTTCGTGAGCTTTGGCATCGTCATAGTGATTTCGAATGTCGCGATGACTGAAATTGGTATCGGGTGATGTGTTCGCGGTTCCT